AAAGGTACTTGAACATTTCAGGTTACCCACTGGGTCTTATCATTCCTGAAAAACTTGCAGCTTTTGCGATTCCAGTAACCCCACTTTGGCTAATGCAAAGCAGTCAGTACAGTCACATCTTCTGCTCAGATTACAGCAACTCTCTAAAAGCATCACACCCTCCTTACAGAAATCTAGTATCCAGTGTTTTGTACTGCTAGATAAAAGGACAATTATTTCCTCAACTAAACACTCCATAAATAAAATCAAAGGTAGCAGAAAACTTCTTTTCTTTTTTAAAAAAGTAAATCAAGTGTCAAATTTCATACTGAATTCTCAATAAAAAGCTTGAAGAGGCAACTTTTCATTCTGATGGAATAAAGTTATCCTTCCAGACCGGAGGCCTACATACACTTGCCACACTATCTGCATATTCCTTGTCTCCTTCCCTCATGTTAGCACAGCAATAGGTGATTTCAATTCCCTCTACACTTCTCAGAGGGAAATGGCAAGATTTAGTAGTGCATTAGATGAATCCATTCTGAGCTGATCATCTGAAATTAGCCCACTCTATGCAAATGAGTACATCTGCTATGAAACAAGAATCCGCACTCAATACAAAACTTACTGCTTCTAATGAAAGTTCTTAGTTTCTCTCTATTAGAGAAAGTAAGGTGAGCAAAATAAGTCACGTGCTTTCTTGGAAATTCATTTCTAGTGGGTAGATATAATTGTCATTGTACACAGTAGACAATCACTGCTTGAAATCACATTTATACCATAGCTAAACTCCTTCCAAAGTATTCAAGATGTAAGTCATAACTTCTCAGTACGTAGGACGGTGATACTGTAGCAGTTAAGTCCTTGCAGTACTGACCCCAGAACACAACCTACACCATTAATTAGCTTTTAATGCTCCTACTGCCTCATTTAACAGTTTCTGCTAAAATTTTGCATGACACCTTTCAGAGGCACCCCATACCTCCACATTCTATGCTCTAGGGAACAAGCATCCTTCAGAGACATGATAGAGCTATTTAACAATGATTAAAACATCTTTCCACGTAGAACAGTGATATGTAGTTTTCAGACCACTTCACAGTTCCCACTCCCTCAAGGAAATGTGATGACAAAAAACTGCAACCAAATCAACCTGATTCCCTGATGTGGTAAGACAAAAGATAAATTTACTAAAACTAGGAGCAGGGAGGGAAAGGTGCACAGAAAAACAAAGCACCAAGGGTCTGTATTACTTCCTGGTCACAGCTTTGAGTTACATGCTTCCTGCTTTATCAAAATCTTTATGAAATGACAGACGACCAGGAAATCAACAGTTCCTACATTCCTCATTGACTATCTTCTCCAGCACATGAAATGCCATTACTATGCTTGGAATGAAGGAGCTGAAAAAACACCAGACCTCATCTACAACCACCCAGAGAACAGCTAGGAATTTTACTTCATTTTGACCCTATCAAGCTTAGTCATATTGTAGTCTGATTACGGTAGAGGTTGCTTCATCTGGCTTTAGCCAAGCATCTGTCCACACATGATAGGAAGTGCTCTGGCATAATTGCAGCCTTACAGGCACATGTGAGATAACAATTTAACCAAAGAAACTAGAAAATGTAGTACCAATTCCTAAGTTCTATTGCCACAAAGCCTCCACAGCACATTATTGCTTACACAACCCAATTTCTTCATAAGTACTTGCAGAGAACCTCAGTCACAAGGTCTGTTTAAAAGCAAGAAGGAACAACTGTTGAGACAGCTTGGGATATGGTGGCTTAAGTTGCACAAAAGAACAGAACATTCAGTACATAGAACACCATGAAGCCAAAAGCTCAAATGCTTTACACTGTGCAAAATCACCTCTTTTTTTTCTTTTAAAATTTTTTAAATCCATACCCTGTGCAAGCTCTCACAACATAAGTCAGGCATGTAATCCAGCCATAGCCACAGGCCTCTGCTGAGCTGGGCTTGGTGTTTCAAATTCCCATAGCAACTCGAGCAAAGCAGCCCTTTGCACCCTGCTTTTTCTATGAGAAGGAAGAAAGTGTCTCACCTCTTTCCTGCCCCAGTTATTCCAGCTGTATACTGGTCTGGAAAATCAGTCAGTTTGGAGATATTTTAAATACAACCCAGCTATTCACTAGTAATTATCATAATGAAAGACCAAATCTCAGTTTGGCAATTTGCTACTGAATTACAGGGATAACAGCACATGAGAAATACTGTCAGCAGGTTGAAGCAAAAGTTTTTTTCAGAAAGTAAGTGGATTAAATCAGTCCTCTAACAGAACAAAGCAACTTTTCCAAAAAGCTGCAAGCCATAAAAACTTGCACTCAAAAACTTCTTCACGCTTTACAATTTAAGTTACAATGCAAAAAAAAAAAAAAAAAAAAGGAACTACTAAAGAGTTCATGATGGAAAAAAAATCCTTTAGTATACATTTTAGAAATATTTTTAAATTATCTTTTTTCCCCTTCTTCATTTACTCACAGCTACCTCATTTTGGTTCTCAGCAAAAAATAAAATTAAGTTGAGCAGTGCACATTTGTTGAGCACAGCCATGAAATAAAGGGTTTTATAAAGTTTAGGCCTACAAGATAATGTTACCACAAGCAGAAAAATATAAAGAGGAAGTAGGATCTGAAGTCAACATCTCTGTGCAATGTTTAAACTCGACACATTTAAAACAATGTTATCTTTAAGACACACCATTTAATCACACACTGAAACAGAACATCAATTTTCATACACGTAATTGAAACAGGTAACCTGCATGCTTTTCTCATTTATGTTACATTATCTCCTGCAATCTAACACACAGAAGGCATTCCAGACCATACCCAAAGAGCATCAGGCTTTTGCTTTTCTCCTCCTCAGTCATTTCAAAACACTATCACTTCCATAATTTCTCAACCAGCTGCACTGTTTCCTCATTGGGCTACTTTTGTTTGGGTGAATCTGTATTGCCAGAAGTATTATAAAGAGTGTCAACTGCTATAAAAAAATGAATCTAAGGTATAGATGATAATCTCCCAGTTTGAACACATAAGTATTTTTGTTTGTTTGAACAAGAAACTGAGCAATAAGCAGAATCACCCATCCAAGTCTAGAGATTACCGTCTAAGACTGTATTTGGGCTCCAGCTCCCACAATCTCATACCTTTACATGCTCATGTACTGCTGGTAAGAGAAAAGGGAATTGGCAAGCAGACTGACCCCTACACCACATTATTTAAAAGACTGACATTGAGAGACAAACATATCTTTATATGGTTTATGGGTAATGACTTCATTTTAAGACTTGTCTTCTGTGTTTAGTCTACTTGCATGCATCACCATGCAGATTTTGGCAATATCTTGAACTAGAATCTCTGCCCAGACCTAATCCATTCAAGACTCCCTCAGTTTCTATGCCTAAGATGTTTCAAAGTGTGCAGAAATGATGTTCCTATTGCACAAGCATAGATTGATGTAAAAAAAAAAAAGTATTTGAATGGAGAAAAAACCCAACACACCAGCTATCAGTAACAAAAGCAGGAGACTGTAAAATTCAGACCAAATAAGAAGATGCCAGCTCTCTCTAGTAACTCAGCTGTGGCACATTGAATGCCCAATGGTCAAGAGGGGTTTAAAAAGGATTTCAGAAAAGCCATTACTATAATGATCACAACTGGTGGTCTTTGAACTGAAATTAAGAAGTATTTTGTAAGAGAGTAACACTTCCGATGTTGCTTGAGAATTATTTCTCATACCACTCAATCAGTACACCGAACCGCTTAATTCTCACTTTCTCACCTTTTCATCTCCCTGTGTAGAATTACAACCCCAGCTGCAGCTCATTAGAGAATTTCAGCAACATCTGAAACTTCTTGCAACTTTACATGTGCCTTATGTTAATTCCTTCATCATCAGTGCACAGCTACCAATAATGCTTTTGTATCAGTTTACAGAGCAGTAAAATACAGTCCTAAACAGATAAGTGAGGTATTCAAAACCTACTTCTTGCAGGTTGTTTGACAAATTGCTAGAAAGTGCTTAACACCTGGCATAGTTCAGATAAGGAGCAACACATTACATAACAGACTAAAGCCTTTTGCCTTTATTCTGTTCTTACCCACTCTCTATATACTTAGAGACATTAGGCCAGTCTATCACAGATTACACAGAAACAACAGACACTCCCAGGTTTATTTTATTTTAAAAATGTACAGTCAATACTCCATCTTACACAGTGAAGATACCTCTCACTCAAGTAACATAACTCATGGGATTGAAAGAATAAGCTTTTCTACAGAAAAGCATTCACAAATTTTCCCCACCTGAAATATGTAAAGTATGATGAATGTAAATGACACAGGCTCAAAGGCAGCTGGGAGAATGAATGACTGAAACAGTTTCACTACAGACCACAAATGGCTTGGACAAGTAACATGCAAACCAAGTTATGTTATTGAAAAGGTTCATCAATTCTTTAAATGGACTTTTCAGATATGCCCTCAGTCTCAGAAAGGAAGACTACCTTTTAAAGCTTGTAAGATGGATGACAAAGAAAGATGCAAGTAGAAGCTGCACATAAGATGAGTGACAGCAAGCCCTGCTTCCATTATGAGTCTGTTCACTTGCTAACCAGGAGGCAAAGACTTAATCTGCTGGCTGCTATAGAAAGTAAGAGTAAACTCAATTAAGAAATTGAAAATATGACATTGCATAACAGAGTAGAGGAAGGCAAGAGTACCACTACTCCCACTTTCAAGAAACAGTTCAAGCAATCACATCTTTTGCAGTCAGCAGGACTGCAGATCTGTAGTCTCACAGTCATGAAAATTCACTCACTAGAGCAAAGAACTTATACCCTGATATCATCAACATATGTCAGCGAATAAGGTGATGAAATGCTATATAAAATTTGTCTTTCTCCATTAATCTGTTAAAGTTGGTCCGAGAGGAGCTATTTCTCTTACAATTTGGCTATTTCTTATTTGCTCTTAACTTATAAGTGCCAATAAATACCTGAAGGAATGACAGAACCAGGCTCTTCTTAGTTGTGCCCAGTGCCAGGACAACAGGCAGAGGGAATAAACTGGAGCACTGAAGGATCTATCTGAACACCAGGAAATGCTTCTTTATTATGCAGGTGGAAAGCTGGCACAAGGACCCAAGGAGTCTGTGGGGTGTCCTTCTGGAAAAGCTTCAAAAGCTGCCTGGGCACGGGGGCTTGGACACCCTGCCCTGGAGGGCACTGCTGGAGGCAGGAGTTGGACCAGAGGCCCAAGCTACTCTCAGCCATTCTGTGAATCTGATCCTGTGAAAACAAGACCAAAAAAAAAAAAAAAACAACATCAGAAAACCTCAACTTAATTGCTCTTAGCTGCACTGCACTGTAGAATCCAGTTAATGGTCAAGTAACAAATGGACAAAAAAGCTGCAAAATATCCTGAATACAGAGTGTGTGAGATGAGGCTTATATATCCAAATACATGATTCTAAGTGACTTGATTCCCCTCACTTTTTTCTTTTCCTGGAAGAATAGGGCTTTGCTGTTCAGGTATTGCCAGTTAAGAAAAAAATCATTTGATGTAGATGAGTGGTTTGCAGCATGCAATCTGTTGGAGCAACAACAGGCAACAATATAGTTATCGTCTGATGAGTTCAGCATCCCAACTTGCCACTCTCCAGAGCCCTGGATTTAAATCCTGTACTTGAGACATAAGAAAAAAACACCCTTAGACAACATCACGCTGCTTGCACGCACAAGACTACCATCCCAAACCGTTGCATTAACTTGAGTCTGCTGCCTACTTAAAGGAAAACAGAATTGGAAAGCAAGTCTAGACATCTTTCCCTCAAAAAAATTAGAGTTGTATAGGCTGTAACATACTTTATGTGTAACGCATGCTAGTTCACATAATATAAGTTGCAGATAATCACGAGTTAATTACAATAGTATTTTATTAATTTTACCATGTAATACTGTGCACCCCTTTTTCCTCTACAGGTACTACATCTGCCTACCGCTTCCTTTTATAATAAGGATAAGCTGAATGTAAGTATTTTTGCAGCAAAAATGTCAGCTTCCTATGCGTTCTTTACCATTAACATATTTGAAATGATCATTTTATGGCTACTAAGGCCTGTCAAAGAGATGCTGGCTTGAGTTCTCCATTTAGCTTTCAGGAAAAGTGGTGAAGAAAACAAAGGCAGGTGTTGACACAAGATTACCAGATGCTTATCAGAAGTAAGTCTTCCAAGGATTTCTAGAGAAGAACTGTCAAGTTGCTCTCTCATGCTATGTTGCACCTATGCAGATTTGCAGATTGCTGTATTTCTGTCACACAGATGTACTGGAATGAACATGTAGATTACAAACACAGATTTCATACTAACTGCTCTCCTGGTGACTGCATAAAGAATAGCTAATGACATAATATTATTACATATTCCTGATTAAAAATAAATAAATAAATACATTCAGACTGGTAGAAGGTTTACAAAAAAATAACTGTGGAAAACTCAGAGTAGATGATCAATATACACCTTCTCTATTTTCGTTTTACAATTTCTATAAACCACAGGACAGAAATTGGACACTAGGCACCTGAAAATCCTATTTGTAACTACCATCCTTGTAAGCAGAACAATAATATTTCTTCTGGACAGTACAGTTACAGAAAAACAAAGCTTTACCTGATGCATTTTTCATCAGCTTATATATATTCAGAGTGCATTGACAGGTACTTTCTTCAATATCTCTAAGCACTGAGCTGGAGGAGGCCCAACAATGCAGCTAAAAGCTGCAGCAAAGCTGAAACTGAACACACAAATGTGAGGAATAGAAATGATGCCAGAGGTCTGGTGTTATTTCTTGGTTCAGTCAGAAAAACAGAAAAGAAAATAGAGAAGACATCTTCCTTTGAACAACAGTTGCCTCAGAAAAGAGCAACAGCAAAAAATTTACACCATTATAATGTATTTAGAGGTCTCTTCTACTGAAAGTTATACCTGAATGTACTGTCTCTGGATTTAACACATCTGAAGTCGCAAAGCATTTTTGTGTCCAATACGAGGCCTTAGCGTTGCATTTCAGCAGATTTCACATCACTACTTCGGCACTAGAGAAACATGCTCATAATTCAGCAAATCCTTATTAAAACCATTTAATGAGCAAAGTGGCAGTAATTAACTCATTTGCCCAAGGCCACAAAACTCATAGAACTCAGTTTATTACTTTTAAATCTCATGCCTCCCAGACCGCTCTGCACTTCTCTTCACTTAATTAAGAACTGAGAAAAACAAGACTCGCCTTTAAGTTCTCATCAAGGTGCAACAACAACAGATCCGTTCAGATTTGTTCTTCGTGCTTTCTGTGCACTCCATGCAATCACATCAGTTATACTGATAACAGACAATGAAGCTTCAGGCAAGTATATTTGAAAAAGATAATTAATGCAGACATACATTCCCTAGGACTTCCAAAGGAGTCCTTCTGTTCTCCTAATTGAGGATTTCAAAATAAAGAAAAGCATGTCATAGTCACGTATTCATAACATCTTTGTTAACAAAGAATAAAGACTACTCTTTTGCCCAATTTATTAGTGGAAACTATAAGGAGTTTTCTAACCCCATTAAAAATAACTCTGTATTCTTCAAAGCTTTTCTAATCTAGAGAAAATGGAATCTGCATCAATGTTTGGTCACATGACATCAACTCATTTTTCCACTCCGTGCCCCAGTTTTAGATCAGCCATAGAAGGTACAAGTGATAACATACACTGCCACCTTGTGTTATAGTTTAAAACTGAGAAAACCTGCAAGGATTCCCAACACATTCAGCTTTAGGTGTTCTAATAGCATTTTTCATAGCCGCTGTGCCGTATTAAAAGCATCTAAACTGTTATGTAACTAAGACTGAATTCAGGCTGCAACAGATGCAAGTCCCAGTGGTCCCAAGAAACAGCAAAGCTCACTCTTCTCCAGCAATTGTTGCAGATATTTTGAAAAGTACACAGTATTTGCAGAGACAGCAAAAGCTCAATGGCATTGATATTAGCTTTTAGGTTTGAGATGCTCTTCCTTCAGCACAGGTAAAAAAAATATTAAGTTGTTCCGTTATAAGTTACGATACTCCATTAAAAAAGATGAAGCTAAGCTATTACTTTCCTCCTCAACTTGAACCTGAAGAGTAACAAAAAAGTTTTCCCCTTTAAGCCCCAGGTCAGTAATTTGATACTGGATATTGTATCATCCTCTCCTCCAAATAAGGAAGGCTGAAATCTCATTTACCTACAATGACTGAATGTAAACTGAGCAAGTATATTCTGAACGAGCAGCACAATCTAGAATGGGAGCTCCAGGACTGGCAGAAAAGGGATATGAAATTGTAGGTATCTCAGTGGTTTGTAGCCAACCCAGCCCTCCTGCTACATACTGGCCTTAAAGGGGAAACGGAAGGAACAATTCATTCAACGTTCTCAAGGCTCAAGCCAAGTGTAGTTGTACTGTGTCTTGCAAAGCAGTCTCAAGCCCAGCAGCTATATCACAAAACATGTTAGCAAGTAGAAGAAAAAAAAAGGCATGGGAATGGTTCTGGAGAAGGAAACTAGTGGGCTTTGAAACTGCACTGTCCTTTCAAATGTATATTGAATGGAAGTTTTATTTTCTGTAAAGAAAATAAATTTCATGTAAGGAAAATAAAATGGAAGACTGGCCTTATAAATTGGGTAAATATGGTCACCCAACTGAAACGTAGCTCTATTCTAAGTAGTAGGGTATCAGAAGAACGTTTCTAAGTACATTATCTTTACACAGAACAAGACTAAAATACTATGCAACCTGTAAAACACCACTAAATTGCTAAATACTTACACAATAGTTAACACTGAGCCTACCTACTTCATTTCTACACTAATATTACATTGGAAATATTTGTATTACCTTGTTTCTCAAAGTATCTATTAAAATAGAAGCATTATAGTAATTCACAGAATTCACAAAACTCCAGCATTCAGCAGGAATCTTTGCTGCACTAGCAGACAGCTTTTCCCATCATGTGAAGTGGAAAACAAGAGTTCCTAGAGAAACATACTAAAATTAAGTAACACTCACTGACCAATTCTGACAGAAGGTTAGAATTAGTTTAGAATACCACTCTATCCAAGTACATTTGTTTCTCCCCTTACCCCACCCCATAGAAAAAAGCAAGACACAGGTCTTCTGCCATACTAATGTATTCCATCTTTCAAAAAGAAAGACATGATTTTAATATTACTTAACAATATGTTAAAAAAGTAGCCAGTTAGGCTTCAGTGTTAATACAATTATACACTCTATAACAGATTCGATAGTGTGAGTACTGTTCTTTTTTTAAATTTTCTCATTCTGCAAGTATTCTTACACAAGCTGGCTACAAGTCAGGAAAAAAAAATAATCAAAACACAAATAGCGTAACTTGTACACTCTTAAACAGTAGATTGTGAAAGAACTGAGGAAACACTTGTCCTGTAAGAGCCTCTTTTTCATGAAGTCATGTCAGGAGAATTTTGGAGCAGATGAAAGCACAACTGACTAGGTCCATTCCTTTGTCAGGAGTCAGAATGACAAAACATAGCTAGATGCAGAAGTGACAGGAGCCACTGCAGATGATGCAAACTAGTATTTTGGCCTCCACCCAAGCCTAAGCAATTTAAAGTCTTTGAGGCCAAGGCATTCAGAAGGAGATGGAAAAGAGCTATTGTTTCATCTCCAACGGCATACAGCTACAATCAAGTAAGTCTCACTCACAGACTACAAGCACACAAGCTAACAAATTCAGGTAGAAAGTGGCAATTTTTCAGTCCGCAAGAATTATCAGGCCAAAGGGTTCAGTGCAGATCCACACAGCACTGGGGACAAGGCAAGGCAGCACTGGCTCAAGACCAGATAAGCTCTCAGCACAGCAGGACAGGTAAGTGGAGTTGTCGTTCATTGATTCCTGCAGGATTCCCTCCCCATATTGTGTCATTTCAATGTGCAGCAAAGGTGGTTTTTTTCAAGCTAAAATTGGACCAGTTGATGGAAAGTCTCTGCCTTGTCTGTCTGGCAGAATCCAAGCAGAACCTGAAAAAAAAAAAAAGTGATAAAGTGAAACCAATATATTGAAAAAAAAAAAAAAAGGAACCCACCACTGATGGCACCCCCTTTTCTGAAGGGCAGTTCCCATTCAGAAGGGCAAAACTTCATAAAAAATTTTATTTAAAAAAAATGACTTGCCCATTACCCATGTAATCAGAAACCAGTTACTTTAAACACCACTATATTGGCAAGAGCAACTGGGAGAAGAAACAAGGAATACTGCATATTTATCAGCACAGAAACTTGCTTTGCTGGCTGTTAACCAAAACCAGAACTGACATTACTGTATTTATCAAGACCCCTGTAACAATAAGAATGAATAGCAGGTAATTGATAAAGCACAAGTGTCAAGGACACACAACACTGCTCTTTCCTCATACCAGTCTGACTACAGCAAAGTGGCATTTGAAATGAACATTTGAGGAAAGATGTTTGTAATACAGCAATCAAATAGTCCACACACTAGAAAAAGAATCTTTAGCAAAAAAAAATCCACTTAGTTGTATTTAGTGGGCACAATGCACACTTAGGGAAGAACTTTTGGAAAAGGTTGGCATGCACTAAGAAACAGGTATTTCAGAGACTGTTAATTCATGCTCAGGTCCTTTATTGAGATCTGGTGTGTCCTGTTTGGGCTAAAAGTTCCATGACAGCATCAAGGTAACTCCTATGTGAAGGAGTTCCCTCCATGGAAGGCTACAAATAAGGGGAGCAGACAGAAGGATAGAAATAGGAAGGGTACAGTGGACAGTCAAGTAGATTTCTTTTGTTCTTTTCATGTCAAAGTTGGAAGCAGTTTGCAAAATTAATTCTGAAGTCAGGGTGGAATAATCTGTTGCTCTGCTCCAAAGCAAGAAGGAAGGATAATAAATTAACAAAATCAGTAAAAAGATGAATTCCTGTGGAGCTTACTGCCATGGAGAACAAGCAATACTGCTAGCTTGCTGTTGATTATATTGGAAATTATTAAATGATATATATTAAAGGTGTATCCATGGTGTTTGCCTAGAAAAGCATTTACAGGGGCATTTCAGGCATCTCTTCTAAACATGAAAATTGGAATGCATGAAAATTGTACAGTTACACAAACTTCCTAACAGATGAAAGTTAAATAGATTGTATTGAGTTGATCAACACTCGTAACTGTACTGTTTTATAGCCGTTCATCTGGAATCATGTATGGCAACCTTGTATAAATTTCAGCCACACTTTTATACATAATGAACACATTTCTTCACTAGCACTATTTAATATATATCACGTTCCAACGATAAAACCCACCTTGCAAGATCTGTTAGCTGGTACAAGTCAGTCATTCAAGAGTATTTCTGGATATTTTGACTTTAAAACACTAGCACTGATTTAAATAACATGAATTCTGTATAGAAATACTCAGCACAGAGAAGCAGCTGTCCTTTGCAAGATTCAGATGTGTATTACACTTCCCAAGCACACAGACTATCAAAAGTATGTAAGTTCAGAAAAACATTCAATTATCTATATGGAAAGCCTGATTTTAAAAATAAAAAAGCCCTACTCTTTAAAATCAATGGCTTTAGTTGTCTTGTGAAACAACCATCGATTCTAAAGTATTCAACTATAGAAAGCTGATTTATCTATAACCCTTTTTTTTTTTAAATCATGATGAAAGACTTACTAAGAAATATTCATGGACAACTAGCACAGCCAGCTATAACTGAAGAACATACATTTGAGTAGTTTACAGTGCTATGGAAGAACAGCTGTATTATGTATGTATGAGCTGTCTGCCCTTATTTGAAGAACTTAAACATAAATAACAAACTCCAAAAGAAACCAAAATGAAAAAACAGTCTCAAGTACCAGTTCATTTTATTGTTATTGTCACTGCACTAGCATAAACATCTCCTCTTTATCATTAGTAGAAACTAATATTTGCAGTTGGGCTATCTCTATTTTATGTGCAGTATAAAATTCCAAAGTAATAGCTCCCATAAACATGTAAAAAACCTCATGAAATAAAACTCGTGAAATATAGAAAAATAGCATCTCAAATGTAAAAGTTGCTTGTTCAGTAAGTAACACCTTACATAGTATTTATCATCTTTACACTAGAAACAAACAAACAAAAAAAAAGCAAGTATTTTGTCTGTATTTTATTTGTGTGGATAATAAAAGAAATATTCAAATTTTGCTTACAGAAAAAAAAAAAAAAAGATAGCTGGGAATGTTCTGAAAATCTTATGAGAATATGGGGGACACAAAGACAATCCTAGGATTTGGTCACTAAGCATACTGGAAGAACCAGAACAGCTTTTCATGCAGGAATTACAGAACTTTACCTTTTAAAATACTCCACTTCTCGCTCTGTTTCATCCATTTCCACACTGTCTAGATCAATGTCTTTGGGTAGAAAAACATCATCTACAAAGGGAAAAGCATTACACTACATTAGATTCCACAGGGGAAAGGGAGAGAAGAAAGGAAGAAGCTGGATTAAATATGTTTTTGGGTTTTTTTTTTGAGAACTGTCTGAGCTTTTTGGACCAGTGATTATTCATATTTAGGCTGAATTAATACAAATCTGTAATTGAAAATGAGTTCTTAAAAACCTCATACTATTATCGCTGTTCAATCTTTCAAGGAGTTACGTTGGAAACAAGGAAGAGACAAAGTAACAGAGAATTTACTGATCATATGGATTGCAAAAGATGCCAAAAGCCTGGAATACACATGAGAAACATCAAATTATATGATGAGGCATGATGAATCAGGTAGGAAATGAATCGTGCTTGACTGCCTGAACTTCGATGGCCTTGTTACTATAAGGGCAGCTTTAGAAAGACTGAAGAAATTGTATTTCTAAAGAAAAAACTTAAAGAATTCTGGTTTTGTAGAACTGCAGTATCCCCTCTGGGACATTACAGGTTGCTTGTACAAGTCATGCTATTTGCAATTAGGATTCTTTTTCAAATGTTCTTCTGATATTTTAACATGGTCAAAATTGAGCATCAGCTATTGTAGCTACTGGTATACTATACTGTCCCAGCACTTCTTTTTCTTGTACTTTCTATCATAAATACTTCAGAAAATGTAATTTGTAGCAGAAACCAATTTGAGAATTCTTTCCTCTAAGTCTCCCTTTGCATCCTACACCATTCTCCTTTCTGAGGCAGACTCAGAACACGTTCCAAAGACAGCAAGACTCAAAGCACACAACTGAAAACACCTAGCACACATCGCTACTTTCCAGAATCCTTGGAACTATGAGAGCAGATAACTCTTCCCTAAAGATTTTCCTGACAGCTCAAAAATTACGTATCTTTGCCTCACAACTTATTTCTAAAGAACCTGAAAGCCCTGTGCTCCCTATATCCCAACCTCTTCAAAAAGAGGAGTCAGAATGCTCTGTCAGACTATTTCTTCAAGAAACTGAGATCATACCAGAAGCAATGTTTGATGGAAACAAAGTCTTTGTCGTCTCTACTACACCTGTACATTTTTCCACAGCTGATCTTTTGTGCCTTTGCTAGTTTAGACCATCAATCCAGTATCTTGAAGAAATTACAGCCAAAGAAATTGTATATTACACCATCTTTCTTTTAGTTCTAAAGACAACAATTCCAAGTGGCTACCCAGCCCAGATCTGGAGAGTTGCACAATTACCTCTTTCTAAAATCACTCGTGTTCCTCCATTTTCTACATTTGAATAATAGATTTCAGGAATTGTTAAATATACTTGTATTAATAGCAGAAAAAGCATGTGTCTGTGTGTATCTACATACACAGAGGAAAAGAGAAGGTGCAAGAAGTGACCTAAATTCCTCCTTGGAGTTTTGTCTTACTTAAACGACTGGAGTACACTGTTCTCTGTATATTAAAAAAAAAAAAACAAAAACAAAGCAAACAAAACCTCATGACAATATAGTATTCAGAAGAACTAAAGTATAGAAGAAAAAAGTTCAATGCTGTACTCAGGCACAGATTGCCATGGAGGATTGAGGTGTTACACGCTTACCAGGCAGCACAGCAGCATGAACTGCAGTATTAAGTCATTTTAGCAAATACTTCATTTGTGCACTGCTGCTGCTCAGCTGCGTACTCTGAGCAGACATTTCTGTACCACAAAGCTGCCCCAACCACCAGCCCCAGGAGGGACCAAGTGAACACAGGAACAGATCCAGCAGATAGACTAGCATGCTGCCAAGGCAAATCAGCTAGCAGTGCATGTGTTCATCAGCTTTGGTATCAGCCTTAAAGGCTTTCAGGAAAATAAAACAAAAGAATGCAATGGGATGAAAATTATGTCAGTGCAACTCGAATTCACTCAAACTTCTATGCTTTTACTGTTCTTATTGGGTGCATAAAATCTATTTCCTAGCATAAACTGATATTCACATGGAGAAAACACTCAATATATTTAATTAAAAAACATTCCACTAAATTTTCACACAGGCAAATGAAAAAAACAGTAAATTAGTTTACTATGCCTGTTAATGCAAATAGTATAGGAAAATAATTATTACTGCTGATAAATGAATCATTATTCTTTGACAGCAGAATCCAATAATTCTCCTTGTGCACAGATTAAGATCAATTTTAGACAAAATTCAACTCTATTTGAGGAACATCCTTGCTTTTACACAAGTTCAGAATGGAACTCAGCAAGCTGCTTCAATATATGGAATATTTCTTAACAAATACAGGCTTTACCGATGAGACTGCCTTTCTGAACAGACAAAACCCTACAAAACAGAGGTATATGCTACCTTACTCAGGCTTTAAAGACTTCTACATATCTTCACTAGAAGTATATAGCATTTTCCTTTTAGGATATGTGTATCTTCAGATTGTGCATTACCAGCAAGCACCCTGAAAACAAACTGAAGTTACAGTGACACGAGTTTTTCCTGACATCAATTTCTCTGGATCTTTGTTGTTGGATTTGTTTTACATTATCAGATTGACTAAAGAAAAATTTTAAGCTTCTGGATTTAAGTAGTAACAGTAAAAAAGAAAACCAACAGGCAACTTAATTTTTCTTACCAATGGAATTGTTGACTTTGTCCCCTTTTTTCTTCTTGTTTTTCTTGTTCTTGCCTTTCGGTTGAGGAGAATCTGCAAGTATTAGCTTATTATTCTGCTGCTGCTCATTTGGTGAAGGGGATTCACTTGTGATGGGTGCTTTCTCTTCCTTTATGTGGTTCAATTGTTTTTTGTTGTTGTTGTTTAATTTCTTCTCTTCTTTTTTAGGTTCTGCAAGCACTGGGAGCTCTGCTGCTTTTGCTTTGGATTCTATTTGGTTTCTGGTTTTAGTCTGAATCTCAGCTGCTTTGGAGGATTCAACAGGCTTTTTCACTTGTTCAGCACACGGTTTGTTTATTTGCTTTAGTTTCTGTTTGTTGTTTCCTTCTTTATGCTGATGCATAATATCAAGCAGAAAAGAGAGGGGCTCATGCTGCTTTACGCTCCCCTCTTTCTGATAAAGCAGTTTTGAGTCTCTAGTGTTCACAGCATTGGATGGTTCACAGCCTGTCTCCGAAAGCGGCCTCTGTTCTGTGTGATTCACGTGTCTTGACAGTGAACCAGAGGAGGTTTCTATCTTTTCTGATTGCTCAAGTGTACCATTCTGAATGTCTTCGGGTGCATTCGGGACAGATTCCTTTGCTGCCTGGCAGTTTTGAGTAAGCACGTCCACCTTCTGACAGTCCTTATTTGTTCGCTCTTTCTTCTTTTTCTTTACAGCCCTCAACTGCTGAAGTTCTTGAAGCCGCTGTAGTTCTTGTTTCAGCCTCTCTTCTTCTTCCTCCTCTCGCCTCCTCTGCTCTTCAAGCAACTGGTGATGCTCCCTTTCCCTGGCTTCTGCTTCAAGTCGAGCCTTTTCTTCAAGCTACAAAATAACAATTAGATTACTGGAAGTGACACAGATTTTGAAAACGAGTTTTAGCTATCATTATCAGCTTTCTGTGCAAACATTTTAAGTCTCAGAATGTTAGCATAACCAATTTATTTGATCTACAAGGATGCAGCAGGAAATAAATAACTCAGTAAAAAAAAAGCTGCCTTTTAAAGTACATTGAAATCCTTTTGGAATTTCTATGTTTCTGTAACACACCTGACTGTTGTCAGTACCAACTGTTCTTTGCTACTGCTAAGCTTCACTTCATACCAAAGATATCTATAATCACAAGTACTTGTTGAAAATGAAATTTCCCACTTGATTCTCTCATCTATTTGTGTATTACTGAGGCATAAACCTTGCATCATATGTTGCATCACTTATCTGTTCTCTTGGCCAGCAGCTACTCTGTTTCAGTGTTTATTAACATTAGAAGGAATTGTTAAAAGCAACTCAAAACAAAAACACCAAGCACATCTAAGATGCGTTAAAAGCTGTCAAGAACAGTAAGGATGGTGACACTTTGTTACCTGTAAGCTCACAACCACATATAACAAAGATACAAAGGACTTTTACCAACTGTTACTGCAAGTTCCTGAAACCGTGCAATATTTATCTTGCATGATAAGCAAAACGAAAGCTATACACTGAGAACAATTGTATTCATACAGCTTCTCACACATTTCAAAGCATCTACAGAGGATTCCTTTCCCATAGTTATAGAAGTCGTGCCAAAAGCCCCATCACCCTCTTAAGGGAATACCAGGTCTTCCAAGCCTATGGAAGCATTATAGCATGCAGACTTAGTGCCAAAAAACTAATCCACAAACACAAAATATTTACTGTGAAGTCACATAACATGAATATCAAAATAGATAAACTTTCAGCAACCAACCTCAGTTGGTTTAAACAGTTTAAACTTCACACTTAAAATTGATAACTGAACTGCAATAAGAAAAGCAATTTTTCTCCTTGTTCAACTTAGAAAAATCATTTTCCTCTGTTAACTCAGCAAATGTTGTTTTTGGAAAATAATTTCCTTATTAAATTTAAAAGGTAATTTTTTTTATTTTTTTATTTTTGCTTTACATGTTTTCATCAATTTTCATTTGAAAGTGACCTATTTTCTTTTTTATTGCCCTCTCCTTAGCAGCTTTGTACTTCACTCTGACTTATGGTGGTCCTTCATGTCTTCATGAACCCCTTTCAAAGTGCCCAATGCAATCATGCTACAAATATCAAAACTTGACTTTTCCACTTTCATGAAAGCACTGATCTCATGTTTTTTGGCTTCCTACAGTCATCCATCATAACCATCACTCCAATAAAGAAACACTAATTTTCTAATTTCCTGCACTTCTAAAATGCCCATTCAGTGCAACAATCAGGTTTTTACTTCTGAAACTTAGTAACTGTGTGGAAAATTCCCACATAAAGATGACTTGAGACTAAGAAGATGATGGCAACATTGTGAGAACTCTTCCTAGTCTAAGTAACTTCTAAGACAGCATCAGAAAAGCTAAGCAAGCCTCACTTAAGCAAACAGACAGAACCATCACAAGTGACAAAAAAAAACAAAACAAACATTAGGCCACTATTATCAAGTCAGCACATAGTTGTATACTTACAGGGTGGTCACAAAACATGCTTACAGATTCAAATGTATGAGGATTTAGGATAAACACACTCTTTTATATTACCTTCCTTTGCTTATGTCTTGCTCGCTTGGCTGCCCGAGAACTGCTAACTGGTTTGGTTTCAGAGCTGTTTATGAACTGTAGCAAGTCTTCCACCTTTCGATGGTCAACAACACTTTCCCTTTCAGAGATCTGATCCGGTTTCTTGGGCTGTTCCTCCTTCCTTTTGGTCAGACGTAAACGAAGTTTTTCTCGCATCTCAGCATAATTTCTACTGGTTGGTGCAGCTGGTGGCTGAAGGACACAAGAGAAATATTTCATGACTAAATCTAAATTTCACTGACCTAACACTTAGAAGATTTTGAAACTGTAGGGGCCTTAAAAAAAACTAGGAGTTCAAACCAGAACACTCAATTCCATGTTGTTTGTAAGCGTACCTGACTGTGTATTTAACAAGCAACAGACCTATCAGGCTTGTTGCTAGCTTGTGAACTCCATTTTACAACTGGAAGAATGACTGATTTTACAGAGGAGTACACAAATGAGAAGACAAAGGCCTTTAACAGCACAAAAAGAGACTTTGGTATTTTCCTGTGATTGGTGTATCACATCTGAAGATTTAAAAGAGCAGACATCTGCTACTGCTTTCAATTTCCATCAAGTGTCTTTCAGAGTTTGGGCTACATGGGCCTCTGGGTTCATCACCTTGCACCAAACTATGCCTGCCCATCTATTTGGGGCCACACTAGTTCAACTCACTACACCAGCAAAACCAAACCTACTACTACAAAATCCTGTAGCATTCTGCCACTTCAGCACATCCAACACCTTACCATGCAACTGGGCAGCTGTCAAAAACAGATGAAACCTGGGGATGGTGGGAACGTGCAATGGGACCCCCTCCTTGCCCCTTTCAGCCACAGGGCAGGGCCTTTTAATTCATTTCAAACTTTAAGATGAAATAGATGCTAACCAAATACATGCCCAATAAGCTGAACTTTTACTTCAAACACAAAAAAATGCCGGAGACTCAAATTCCATTTGTGACCTGATTATTAAAAGCACACTACACACATACAAGTAACATAAGGCCAGCAATGAAATATAATTTTAAGTTAAGAAAAATTTTAATGTGGCACCTTTTAAAAAGCTTTGAGCATTTCACTTGTGAAAATGAATTGACTATGAGAACTGAGAGCTACGTAAGAGTATAAAGTAAACTTTAAGATGCTCCATCCAAATCTCTAAGTACTAAAATAAAGAACATAAGAGAAAGGATTTTGTATAATCTTTGACATTTAATTTCATTAAAATACCTTTTAAATGTAAGTCAGCACTTATCAAAATGCTCCAGTAAGGCAGATTGTTTATAATAATAAAAAGACAGAATGTATTGTTTGGGTTTTCCTTTGATAAAAATGTTATTCAAACTTACACTGCCTGAGTTCTTTAAGGATAGTTGTTAGCTTTTTTTTTAATATCATGTTAAAATGAACACTTCAAGAACTGAGATTTTTATAGATAGAATTACTACAAATGTGTTTTTTTTTTTTTTTTAATAAATCTTCTATTAAGTGCATTTTTATTTGAACTTACCACATTATAAATAATCACACTACTCTAGATAAGTGCACATACTTGTGAAGATATCTACATGGCAGAATGCCCATTTGCAGTTTCACAGTCAAACAGGGGATTATCCAAGTCAACTGCTTGCTAAATCTTTTAGCCATTTTTATTACTTCTTATTTGCTTTCAACTGGATGGTCTTGTTTTGATTTTTCATTTCAAAGAGGAAAATTATTTTCTGCCCACACACTGAACTTCCTTTTGCTACTCATCTCTTCAGTGAGTTTCAACCCCCACTTAGCTACAGTCTAATAAGATCCATGCAACTGATGATACATTAAAAAAAAAAAAAAGCAAAAATAAAATTGTAAATCCAGCAACTTACTCCGCCATGGCCGAAGAACTCACAGTAACAACAGTCACAGTATTTTCCTTCCTTCTGGTTTGTGGATGTTGAGGTACTTGAGCTATGCTCTGAACAGCTGTCTTCATCTTGGCTCTCCTCTCCATCATACTGCTGATGATCGTAAGTGTTATTGTTCTCGCAGCGATGGCCCTCACAATCAGGATCACTGTGTGAAATTAAGTAAAAGCTGGTAAAAAAACAATTCTGGATAATAATAGAAATAATGTTTGAAAGAAAAGAAACAAAAAAGCATACAGCTATATGTACATCTACCAGGAACAATGACTCTCAAACTGGGATGTCAATCACCAGTGATGTATCAAATTCTAAGGCCTTCATACAGTAGCTTCCAAATGGAGATGCTCAAAACTAAGCAGAAAGAAAAAAATCATGCATGGTAAAGTGATTAATGAAAAACTCATTAGGTGACTCACTAGATCAGTAGCCCATAAAGTCAGTTGTGAAACTGTTCTTCCTCGTCTTAAACCAGGAAAAATAATTTCAGAGGCAGAAATTTTTAGTTTTAATATGGAATGGTTTTGAACTGTCACCTGCCTTATCACTTGTGCACTGCACAGCTCTCTTCATACCACAACTTATTCCTAAAATCCCCTGGTTCTAGACAGATTTTTTTTTTTCTCAACTTAAAAAATTCAGGATTGGCTAAAAACAACATGCTGCCACAAGATCCTGTTTGTAGCTTAATTTTTTGAAAGGGGGGGGGGAAAGGCAGGTCTCTTATTGAAGAGAGCTGCTTTTTTATCCCCTCCAAAGGGCTGCATAACTACCTGCCCAACATATCACAGTTCCAGAAGGACTGAGTGACACGTTATCTTGCTGTAACTGTAAAATATTTAAAGGAAGATCTCATCTAGTGTTATTATTTCTTTGTTCATATGTTCACAATGTGAGAACACCATAACCATTCGTATACCAAAACATATGTGCATCTTCTTTCTGAAGCAAAAAACTCACTCTTCCAGCTCCCCCAGAAAAGGAGATTTATCAAAAATTAGTGATCAAAACAGTGAAAAAAAGCTGTTCAAAAGTATTCTAATTAGGGGAAAAGTATGAGAAAACATAACACATAACAGGTAACTGCTAGTTAGCTCAAACCTCCTGGCTAATCAGTCTGAGCAATGCACCTACTATTTTCTCTTGTCTGTTGAGAGCTAGCATTACAGTGCCCAGCTGAACACTGAAACAGCACATGCTATGGAACAACAGATACAACTCTGTAGAAATCAATGCTTTACTGATTCTATCACCCAAGCACCAGACTCACCTGCAGACACTTGGTGGGGCACTTACAGAGCTGTCTGTGGTGGAAGTAGGAGGTACAACCGTAGTAGGACAAAGACCTGAATGGGGATCCACAAATCCAGGGGCTGTTGCAGCAGTTTTGGGAAAAGAAGGAGCAGCAAGGTTTGGAAGATGGGGTGTAGAAGCTGGAGACAGTGCAGCAGGAGACAGCGAAGGAAGCGATGCTAAACTGGTAGGACTATTTCGTGGTGCAACTGGTGCAGAATGTCTATGGTCCTCTTTATTAATATTGTGGAACACTTCACCTAAATTTGGAGGGGAAAAAAACTGATTACAACTGGAAGAAATTAAGTCTCCAATTAATTACCCAAACAGTAACTCAAAGTGGTAGACTTCCTCAGCCTCTCTAAAAACTATGTAGTACTTCCTGATCTGCCTACTAGGAGTCCCAAACCCTAATATTAAGATGCCTTAAAAATTTCTTCAAGCTAGGAATACAGAGACTAAAACTCAGGAGTATTAAGAACATCAATTAAGGATAATACAAACTACAGCAAACATACATAGAACTTTGATATGTACTGGAAACAGTTACTAAGAAGTGTGTGAATTACAAATCCCTACCTATTGATGAAGGTCTCTTGGATGATACTTTGAACTGGTTGCTGCTTGACTGCACTGTAGTAGCTGTGCAGGAGACAGAAGAAGTAGCAGAAGAGGTTGCCATGACAACTTTGTTAGCTTCCATAAAGGCATCCTGGAAATTGTACAGACATTTCTTCTTTGCAGCATTTTTCTTTTCTTTGCCATCAGTAACTGCTGATCCTTCATTGCTAGATGTGGTAGGAAGTGCTTCAGGTCTTATTTCTGAGAGTGCTGGCGTTAATATATCATTCCCTTCAATTGAAGTGCACAAAATAATTAAGTATCACGGAATTAGAGAATTATCTTTATGGTACTCAGAATTAAACATGTAATAATTTAGATGTGATGCTACAAGACCAACAAGGAGACCCTGTTCATGTTGGTTGAATCAGTTCAGCCAAGTGATCCCCCCACAACCACCTCTCGCCCTGAATACAGATGTAATAAAATGTGCTACTAAGTCTCAAAGCACAAGTCAATAACCTTAAAGTTACAGTTTTAAGAATCCTGCTACATGTGTAAACAAGCAGCAAAGATGCTACAGACCTATATACATTTATACTTGAAGAATTAAAATTGGATACTTTATTACATGCTAAGCATGTAAACTTCAATATCTGAAGTCCACATTAGCCATGCAACAATTGCAACACATGAAGTAGCAGCACATTCTTCTATCAACGTGATACGATAAATCTTTAATTATTGGTGATTCCAGCTAACTATGGTAATACCTTTGTGATCAGACCTCCCACGGAAGCTTGCCACTAACCACCCCTTAGAAAAAGTACTCCTAACCATGTTTGCACAAAGACAAGCTATACTACTGGTGAGGTTTTTTGGAAGTTTTTCCATTTCTTTTCTTTTTAACATCACTTCAGCAGCTTGATACAAGCAAACAGAAAAACCACTCTGAAAAACATTTGAACATAAAACCAGGCTTCCTTTTTCACACAAATTACATTTTACAAGAGTTTTTCTACTACTTCTTTGCTATGATGTGAATGGAAAGGTATGTACACGCTTGTTTCTCTATTAACCTCTTCTACTTAACTTCAACCATTAATATCTCCAAAAGCTTCCTGGCTTAAATCAACTTCTTCCTAGGTGTATGTCTCTATTGGAATGACAAGGTTCATCTCTGTGTAAGGTAAGGAGGAGAATGCAGTACCACATTACCAGTGCTCTTGCAGTCCCATAGAAAATAAGCAGATCTTTGTGGCAGATTAAAAGCAACTTAAGTTCCCCCTGACTTCCAATTTCTTTGCCGTCCTAAACATTCTAAGATGAAAATGCTTCTACAATGAGCAGAGGTGAAAAATGTTGTTATTCTTCTGCCTTTGGAGTCCTATTTCTAAGATGTAAGAATTTATTTTCCAATTTTCAATACCACTCAAGTAGAAATGGCAGCAAATCCCTGCCAGAATCCCATCTCATTAAGAACATGATGATGAAACCTATCATTCCTGGAAATAAGTGCCACATTCCACGGCACGACATAAGGATTTTAACTAGTCAGTGTCAAGTAATAACAAAACCTCACCAGGAATTGTATCAGGCAAAAACGTAGCAGGATTCCAGTTCTTGTCATTCATCATCTCTGATCCCCAGAGACTTATAAATTTAGAGCTATTCCAATCTGGAGTGCTCCCAAAACAGCTTGGATAAATATGATCTTGGAGAGATGCATTGAATACTTGATGCTTGTTTGAATGATTCTGAACTGGAGCTGGCGGTAATGCCTACAAAAATAGAGAGTATTTTCCTCATTGATATTCTGTTTGCTTACACAGTCACTCCAACAGCAACATTCAAATCATAAATTGTTTCAATTGTGAAAGGCATTATAAAAAGCTAAGGGTAATAAATGTTATTTCCCAGAATGATAAAAAGATCACTCTGTTGATTTTTAAAAGCAGATAATGTATCACACAGATTTTATGTACAAGTGTGTATTTTATAATCATAAACTTTTCCTTCAGATTTTTATAACAGATGAATACAAAACAAAGCATCCTCCAAAAATGTTTGGGTTAATATATATTGGTGGATCCTCATTTTTCATCTAAAAAAGTATTTACGTCAATGTACAACTTAATAGGAATTATTATTACCTTCCAAAGCCCAAGATGCTAAAAGCAATCCTCCGTGACATGACAATCATTACTACACAAAACACCTGTGATAAAGGGATTACTAACACTTCAGGATTGGAAACAAGCACAGTAGAAAAACAAAACACTATATCTGAAAGCATCATTTTCAACTTGGTTCTATTTGTCTGCTCTTCTCATCTAGAAGTATTAAAACTGGCTTAAAACTTCAAAGGCAATGAATGCAACCTTCTGTTCTTAAAAGCATCCAAAAACAAAACAAAGAAACCCACAGAAATACTTTTTCCTGTTTTATAAAGGCAAGTTGTTGCTCAGGGTTCAAAGACCTTGAGCAATGCAAGCACTACATTCAATTACCACCACATTTAAAAAAGCCAAAGGGAAGTGATTTTATCCTGTTTCTACACTACATTTAATGCAATGAAAAGCTATACAGATGTAGACAAGTAGCAGCTGAGTTCAGTAACATTTCAGACACTAACATCTACACACAGTGAAGAAAACTCATCATATACCCAGTTGCTCATGTTTTTTTTTAATCCAGACATTTTCATTATCTGACAGATCTGGAAGATCGAAGCAGCTCAAGCATCTTCCATACACGGGTACAAAAGAAACATCATAGGGACAGAACAGCCTATCCATGATATAATGAACCAGATCCTGATCTGGCAGAGTTTATTTACTACCAGCTCTGCCAAATTCATCTGACTGTTCAAATACAAAAGCTGCCTAAAGCTTCAGCTTCCACATATGTCTTTCTAGCTCCCACACAACAAAAACACACGGAGCCAAGCTGGCTCAGGTGCTCTGTGCCAGAAATAGTAGATCTGGCCAGTATAACAAAGCCACTCAGTGCTAGCAGCTTGCCTCCACATGGGGCTGCTGGTGTAGCCTCAAAAATATGCTGCAGATGTTCCACCATGCAAAGATCTTTTGAGAAGAATCACAGCAGAGATAAGGGTATCACGTGGATGGCAGCTTGAGTAGACTGCTACAAAGGGATGGGGAAGAGTGCAGGAAGGATGGCAGAAGGATGGTACAACAATTTGGGATTTCAGAAGAAAGGCTGTAGACTTAAGAAATGTCAATGCAACACAACAGAGAAGGAAGAGATAACAGTAAGATAGGACAAACAAAGTTGATGTTAATAGCGATGCTAACAATTACTTAATGGTCACCACAGTGAGCTAATCTTTTCTCCTTGCAACCACAAGTTCTCTGGATCAAAAAAAGGAAGGTGAGAGAAATGCATCATAGTAACCACATCTTTGCCCCTTTAAGCAGGGCTCATAGTTCAACTGAATGAAATATGTGAAATGGCACCACATCAATGTCAATTCCTAATTTTCGATTCATGCTTCCAAAAGGAGCCACCAGGTCTTAATCCTTGCTGTCCCCCTCTTTTTCATTAATTACATGCTTTGAGTCAAAAGAATTTTGCAGAACCTGCAAAAAACCAAGTTCTCTTAAAGCACAAAAATCATTTAAAAGACTCCTATGCCTAACTGTCTAAAAATAAAAAAGAAAAAAGTACTAGCACTTTGAACTAAAAATCTCAGAACATTATCGCCAAAATGGAATATTAAATTTTGACCTCCAACATATATTAAATGAAGATTTAATTAGTCCTATTATACTGATGAAAGTCTCATTACTCTTCCCACCATTCTAGACCCATTTGACTCTAAATTCTTTCTAATGAAAGCAAGGAAATTATCAGTCTTTCTGATGCAAACTACTCTTAATTTTGCTGTGTGAGCCTTTCTCCAGTTCTGACTATGCCCTACTCCTTACACTTCACTATTCCCTCTAAAAGGGAATCAGAATCCAAACAGACAACAATTTAAAAAGCAGTGTTTACAGTTTTACCGATACTCAGTCACCTGCTAATTTATACCAGCATACAGTAATTTCCTAGGATCAGGACACATCTACCTTGGCAGGCTTACCTTATTATGTGTAAAGGGGGAAGCTGTATACAAGGTGGGATGGATAAGCGGACGAGGAAGGTGGGGAATTGTATGCAATGGTATATGTCCATGAATATGAGGATAAAGATGAAGTGCAGGATGTGCAGGTTTTTCAGGATTCATAAACTGATGCCCAGCAGGCAGGCGTCCAGTTGCAAGTGCAGAGGCTGTTAGACCTGAAGCTTCTTGTTTGCAAACATGACATTCACAAGCATTTGGACCTTGGTCAGCCTGTAAGTGTACAATAAAATACAATCAATGTACTTAACAATACAATCAGATAGTTCCCTAGATCCTTTTTCTTAATAATCATAAATACAATTTACTTTGGAATACATCTATTAACAAATCCAGAGCATCTGGCAAATTCCTCGTGAAAAAAACATTGATTAAAAGTACTAATGGAGGATCTCTTAGTTAAGCTTGGCTCTCAAGATCAACACAGTTTGACACCAGATTTTGAATACCTACTATCAGTGACGAAGATAATTTGTATCGAATTATCAAGGGCACACAAGAATAGGAAATCTTGATAACATTAGATTGCTAGGTTAATTCCAATATAAAAACGGAATTGGATGCTTATATTTCACAATTTCCCAAGTATATGGAAAAACAGTACACACAAAAGTAGTGGTAAGGGCTCATTAGCTGACAATGTTGGAAGAAGCCCTAAGACTTAGGGAGAGCATGGCCAGTAAGTTAAGGGAAGGGATTTTTCCTCTTTGCTCAGCACTTGTGAGATAAACCTGGACGGAAGGGCTCCTCAATACAAGAAACCAGGACACACTGGAGCAAGTCCAGCCAAGGGTCACAGAGATGATTCAGGATTTAGAGCATATATCAAGGAAAGGCTGAAAGGGCTGGGATTGTTTAGCCTCTAAGGAGAAGACTCAGGAGGACCTTACCCATGTGCATAAATACCTGACTCAGGGAAAGAAGGAAAACAAAGATAAGAGACCCAGGATCTTCTCAGTGGTATCCCATGAAAGAGTGAGAAGAAACAGGCATGGATTGAAATACAGGAATTTCCACTCCAAGTGTTTATGTACTTATTCTATTGTGAAGGTGGCTGAACACTGAAACATGTTATCCACAGTTTTGAAGCCCCCAGTCTTTGGTGATATTGAAAATCCAACTGGACACAGAGCTGAGCAGCCTCCTCCTAAAGAGTTTGCTTTGAGTAGGATGGTAGGACTAGACCATCTGCAGAGGTCCCTTCCAAATTCAATTACTATGCAACTGCCTTACAAATAAAGGAAAATGTGTGCCTTACTGGAATCTTTTACTGATCCTTAAGGCATCTTCAGACTCTATAGTCTTTAAAGGGCTCACGTACTCTGGAAGAAAAGACACTCAGGAAAGAGCTACCTCCATTTTCTTCTCTCACCTTAGTACTTTTTACTAACACTGTCATCTGACATTTTACTGGAAGACAGTTTTTACCAGAAGCAATACAGGAACGCTTCCCAGCTGTTACTTCTTCCCAGTAATGAGGCTCTACACATCTTTTCCAAGAAGCAACATTAGCTTCTTAGCTTAGCTTTCAAGAAAAGAACTGACAGGTAGCATTTCTCTGCAACATGCATGCTTTCCTCTCAGAAACACATAACACTTCATCTTAACTTAGAAGTATTACAGCCTTTGACACAAGGCATGTTTCAAAATATGAAGATTTCTTACACCAAATACAACAAATGCAATTAGATCTATTAAGAGCAAATAATACTTGTTTCAGGAGAAAGTTGTATCAAGTAACTAGTAATAATCTCATAAAAAATTAAAAAGAGGAAAAATAAACCAAAAAAGCAACATGGAGATTCAAAATCTGATTCTGACCAACCTTTGGGTACTTGGTATGAAAAAGGAATTTAAAGTGGAACAAAGAAATTGACAGAAGCAATTAATGACAGAATCACAGAATGGTTGATGTCTCTTGGCAGAGACCTCTGAGTCCTTCTGGGCCAAGCCTTGCCCCAGCAAGACCACTGTGAGCAGGATGCATAGGCCCATATCTAGGCAGCTTTCAGAGATGTCCAAGTAGGAAAACTCCTCAGCCTGTGCCAATGTTACATCATGCTCACAGCAGAGAAGTACTTTGTGGAGTTTAGATGGAACACTCTGTACTTTCATTTGTGCCCAGTGCCTCCTGACCTGGTACTGGTCACTACTAAGCAAAGTCTGACTCCATCCTCTTCGCACCTTCAAGCCACTCGTCTATCAGAATCCCCAGGTCCTTCTCCAACGGGCTGCTGTCAATGAATTCTTCTCCAGGCTAGTGCATAAATCCACCAGTGCACAAGACCACCAGAATGCTCAAGGCACACTCAGCCCTTGGTGAAGCACTGCTGACTGTCTCAGACAATCTCTTCATCTCCTACATGCCTTAATGTGCCTTCCAGGAAGATTTGCTGCATGATCTTTCTGTGCCTCTAGTTCACCAAGTCTTCCTTTCTCACTTAAAAATGGGAATGATATTCCCTCTTTTCCAGTTACTGGGAACTTCAACTGACAGCCATGATTTTTCAATGTGATGGAAACAGCAACGAGATCCTCATGAACCTATTCTTCCTGAGGCTGAATAGTCCCAGCTCTGAGCATCTCTTCAGAGAAGAGGTACTCTATCCATCATCTTTGGCAGCCCTGTATTGGGCTCCTTCCAACATGTCCAGGTCTCTCTTACATGGGAGGCCCAGAACTAGATACAACACTCCAGGTGTAGCCTCACCAACAGTGAGCAGAGGGGAATGATCACCTCTTTTGAGTGCTGATACTCTGCCTAAAGAAGGCAGGAAATGAGAAATTCCAATAGATGATACAAAATGATCTCCAACATATCGGTGAAATGAATCACATGAATACAGCATTACAAAGTAAATACCCAGCTTTGACAAAAAATCATCAGGCAAAAAAAAAAATCAATAGGAGTTCTTCAGAATATTTTCTTTCTTTCCCCCCAAAGCAGATAGAAAAAAGGGTTAAATAACATCTTAGGTAAGTAAACTAAACTGTAAGGTGAAACAGAAGTAGACTTATATAATCTCAGCATCATTTGATTTTCTACAACAAATGTGAAATCTGTTCACCCGTTTCCAGTTAGCTTGACAAGCTGGATGTCTCAGCACATTTAATTACTGCATCAGTAAGTCATACATAGAAAAAAGATTTCTCAACAAGCTTGTTGAGAGAAGTTGTAGCTTAATACTCATAAGACACTAGAAAATCCTTCCACTGTTCCAGTGCTCTGTCACCATACAATAAAGTTCTTCCACATATTTGTATGAAATTTCCTATGTTCAAGTTTTAGATCACTGCTCCTTGTCCTATCACACCACCAAGAAGAACCTGGCCTCATCCATTTGTTTCCCACTTCCTTTTAGATATTTTTAAACATTTATCAGATCCTTCCTCAGTCTTCTTTTTCCCAGGCTGAAAAGACCCAGGTTACTCAGTCTTTTCTCATATGGAAGATGCTCCAGGCCTTAAATCACCTTTGTGGCCCTCTGCTGGGCTCCTAGGAGATCCCTGTCTTTTTTGCACTGGGGAGCCAAGAACTGGACGCAGCACTTCAGACGTGGTCTCACGAGGGCAAAGTAGAGGGGGAGGATCAAACCCCTCAAAGACTTCCATCGTTGTAGAATCTTTTGTACAATAAGAGTGATTTTTAGAGTAATATTTCCTCTCTCAAAGTGTAAACCCATGTTATAGCTGTAGGATAACTCAGATTGAAAGAAACATAAAGACAAGTCCAACAGATGAATTACTTTGATGGTCATAGAACTATTTGTTTAGCTGTTAAACCAGACCCCACTACCTGCTGAGCAGATGCTGTGGGTAAAGTTTCCTGTGTGTTTTAGTGAACTTACAGAAGAGAGTGCAACAATCTTAAAAACAAACAAACAAACAAAAAAAAACAACAAAAAAACCCAAGAAAACAAAAAAAGAAATCATGCAAATACCAAAAAAACCCCACAACAAAAAAATCCCACACACATTATCCATACAACAGGCTACTACACAATGTTTCAGCAAGGCAAATTAGTCCTCAGATGTGACATTAAAAAGCGCCCATTAACAACATGCTCTCATTGTAATCCCCTCAACAGCAGTTTCACATAACATCAACATTTACCAAAGACCAAGCTCAAACCACCAAGATATATTTCTTAGTATCTGTTTTTCATTCATATAAGCACAAAGATAGAAATCACTTTTACTGAGAACATCTTTAACATAACTAACGTGTTTCAGGTTGTGAAAAAAGAAGGATACTATCTAGGACAATATACAATCAACTGAAACATATTTTAGATATCACAGCTACCTATTGATAATATATAATCAATATATATCAATATATTCAAAGTTAAAGATACAATTCAGGTTGAAGATGTAAATGTATTATCACTCAAAAAGTCAAATTTCTGATGTTACTAAAAGGTTGCATTTTTTTCTTCACAGGTTACAATACCTGTTGACTAGGGTAAGAAGGTGGTGGACTATCCATTTTTGCTTCATCTTTCCTTAATGCCCTTTTTCCTAGAGACATTTCCTCCTTCTGAGTCCCTGGTGGCTCACCACTACTTTCTCCATCCGCTTCTTCATCATCTGCTTCTGAGGAGCTGCTGCTAGTACTGCTCACCTGAGGAGACTGTGTAATATTAACTCATTAACATGGGAGTGAAGGACAAGCTTAGCTTTTCTTCAGCAGTAAGATCCAAATGTCAGAAAAAAGACAATCTAAGTGTTGTACCTCATCTTTCAATGCCATGTTTTCATCTCCGCCATTTAGCTCACTGTGAATTCCATTCATGTTGGCTACTACTTCTGCATCATCGTAATTATTCAATGGGTAGATATCAGCAAACTTTGCTGATAATGGTGCAACATCTTCATCATCACTACCACTGAGAGAAAAAGAGGCTTAGATAAATCCCAGTGCTCAGTAACCTCAGTTATCGTGAAAGCAGTCACCAAAATGAAATAAAGTTGAGAGCATCACTTGAATTCCTAATTGGGATTTTTATACAACTATCTTCTTTTGAGTTAACTGACCTTATTTTTCAAATTAAAAAATAAAAAAAATCAAGCAATCTCTACACTCCTACTAACTACAATGGCTTCATGCCAGAACAGCTAATTGGTACTGAAAATGAGATTCTCTGCTATTTCTGTGTAAGATATTATTCCATTAATGTCTTGTGACCAAGAAATCTAATGTCTTTATAATGACAGGATACAGATGACCTTTAATTTGATGAAAAATGCCAATGATTTTGCTTAAAGAAAGAGTGAAGTGGCAAAACAATAAAATATATACACAATATGTCAAACAAGTAACTGTAAGTAATCAGCATTGAACATGTCAAAGTAAATCTTGAATTTCTCAACTGCAATTAGTTCATAAATGACCCCTCACTGAAGTGCTTTCCTGCTAACCTACTTTCAAGTCTTAACACAAGTCGTCTCTCCCCTTTTATAGACAGCTAGAACATGCATGTTTTAGTACCCATTCTAGGGAAATGTTGCAAAGATTCTTTAGTTCATGTTTTCACAGTAATCCAAAGCTCTTAAAAAATAGCTCTCACACTGAGCACCTTAACTTTTTACATTCTATGAGACACTTCACCAAAATTTAAGTGATGGCACCATAAGTCACGCTTCAAATATGCAACGAGGAAATAAAACAAGTAGGCTTAGGTCCAATACAAAAAATGCCTCTTCCTCAAGAAGCAGTGATATTTCCCTTAAAAAAAAAAAAGGAAACAGACTACTTACAGTATATACTTGGATACAACTTGTTTATTTTCTGAATTCTGCATTCTTTGTTTCAATTTCAGAATCAAGGCTCATGAAAGTTTACAGAAATAGCAAAACACATGCTTATGGAGCAAACTGTACTGCCACATAACCTGTTTTCAAACATGTCCCAGATTGATATAGAAACTCTAGTCCTTTTACGGACCATACATCACAGTGGATGCAACAGGTGAAGTCATATTCATCAGAAGCATCTCATTCATCTGTGCTCCCATCATTCATCACACCACATTAACACTGTTCTAATGACAATTCCTTGACTGTATAATCATCATGTACTTCAGTAGCATTCCCACCAGTACTGAAGGCTTTTTTTTTTTTTTTCTCCTCTTTCTTTAAAACATTCTTCTGGAATTTCACCTGATTAGAGACTGATGGCTAGTTCCACCCAAACTACATACAGAAGTCAGTCAACCAGTTTTATACTTTCAGAATTATGGTAGAGGCAGAAGTCTGCCATTAGACTAAAGCCTCAAATCTCACTATGATTTCAACAAAACAAAAAAAAGTGGCAAACACTTCTGACAGGGAGTACTGTTGATGCAATTCTCCAGTTAACACACCTTCAGCAAGCCTAATAAGTGCTTTTTAGGAACTAAAAAAAATGCATAGGAAGCAACCATTACTCAAAGAAAAAGCATCACCATTTACATTGCTCAAATTAAAAAAATTTTTTTTACTTTTTTTTTTGCTATTTTAAACTGATGCTTTAAAGCATCTTTGTAATCTCAAAGCAGAAAAGTATATACGATGCATACATCTAGCAGTGCTGTGAAGTCCAAATTTTTGGAAAATATAAAAAAATTCAGGATTTTTTTTTGTTCCACAATAGATAAAACTGGACTTGGGAACTTCTGAATTCAGTATCAGGATTAATCTATTTTCTTATAATTTTCTGATGTTAAAACAGAATTATCTAACAACGGTCAGCCTGCATAACTTGCCTTCTGAAGTTCAATTCACTATTCCAAATTTTTAAAACTGAGAACTTACAAAGTTGGTGCAGAACCATTGTCTGCGAGGATCAGCCTTGGATGTTGCTGAATTGTTATAGGTGAGCTGGAACCCGATCCTGAACTTGCTGAAGACATACTAGGTGGGCGGATCTCAGATAGATAATCCGGAGCAGAATCAATTTGCAGTGGTAACTGGTTAATGTGGATATCATCCGTTATAGGAGAATCCATGATGCCACACGTCAAAATGTGTGAAAGGCTGCAGTCATCACAAGTACATCTGTTCAAGAATTAAGATTACACACTTTTATGACCTTCAAGCATTCATTTGAAGTAACCAGACTCTTTCTTGCAATAACGTTTCCTTTTTTCCTCTAACATGAGAAATGAATCATTTATTATGATTTCAAGTTAAAAACATCTGCTCACCTTCTTCTATAATTACAGTTGGGACAGTCAGGCATGCTCAAACGTGATGACAGCATGTGCCTCATTGTATCCGTGAAGTTGTTTTCCCCAGCTAGTGCTTTCTTGTTATTAAGCTGAAGTAAATTATAAAGGCATTGTTTTAGTAGTGCAAGTCTTTCCATTAACAATTCAATAGCATATCAGATTAACAAACGGCATAATAAAAAAGGGTTCTTTGGGCAAGATATTTTAAAATAAAGTTTTATCATAGCAGTGTTTTAATCACAAGTTAAAAGATTCCAATTTACAACACCACACTTTTGGCACTCAAACTTAAAAGAAACTGTGTTTTTTCTATGAAAAAGTAAAGTAGACATGTCCACCTCCTTTAGTCATTTGTAACTGCATGGTATTTCTGCTGACACATACTGAACTTCAGCAGTTCTCACCTTGTTTCATGGTATGCACAAAGGACATGGATGACAAATGAAGAATGCAAACTCATCCTTATCTTGCAAAGAAAAAAAAAAATAGGACTAATTGTGCAGCCACAACTGGATAAACTCAAGCAAAGAAGTAGCTGCCCAAAACAAGATTTCACCACACTAGTGAATAAAAGAAAATCCAAATAACCCCCAACTGGCAGAGGCCTAATCCTGAAAGAACTTAATTTCATTAGATACCTACAAACCTTAGGTTAAACAAGGATGTGCCTAAGCTTCAGACCTGACCCTTACCTAAGCAGCCATTTGCTTACAGCTTAATTAGGATCAAATAAAAAGAGGATTCTTCCTCAAGTCCTCTGAGGAGCCCTGTTCAACTGATGCTTTAAAGTTGCAGCCAACAAATGCTTATGTCCCATATAGACAAAAGTTTTGAGCAATTTAAGCTTAAGTTTATTAAAATGTATAATCATACACTCTAATTCATGACAGTAGTACATGAACAGAGATCCGATCTTGGCTTTAGCCTAGTCACTCTATACTCTTATGGAAAGGATAATACATGCTTGAACAATTTCAGGCTAGTGAATAGAGTGTGTCTAAAACAGTAGATACAGGGAAGTACAGCTGCCTCCCTCCCTGGCTACAGCTTAAAACCAAGCAGGTAGCTCTGCTCAAGCTTTACCCCCAGAACAAATTTAAGAGCTGTCTCTAGGGTTCCCAGCTCCAAAGTCTGAACTGATGCAATCATCTTGCCCTGCTGCTGCTTCTCTCAATCCGCAGCTCTGCATACACAGGAGAATTTGATACATTCTCGAACACAATATTCCCTATCACGTACATCAAGACAGCTCCATGTTCCATGTTTTGGATCCCAGTCAGAGGCACAGGGAATTCTCCTTCCGTAGCATCAAGAATTTTAATACTGCATATTCAGTGCTAAGACCATGGTGCTTGTTTTTACCTTTTAGTAACTAAGCTTATATACTCTTCTTGGATCTTGCTTTGTATTTTAGCTGATCAAGGTTAAAGCCTGGCATAGTCACACAATTAGATCATATAGAACTAGTGTAATATACTACACTCAAAAATCTGCATTTTGAAAATATACATAGAGCATTAGTATTACTTAACATGGTTTAAAAAAATCCTACCTGCTCTTCAATAAAACGTCTCTGTTTAAAAAATTCCCAGTCTTCCTTCAGCATGCGTTGTTTTGTTTTCATTGCCATCTAAAACAGAATTTAAGAAAAACTCAGTGGTTTAATTACAGAGATCATATGCTTATAGTCAGTTGTTCTATCAAAGTTTTGTGACATGTAACTTACCTGTATCATTTTTAAAGTAGTTGCATACTCAGTCAATATGACACTTGTTTTATTTCCTAAAACTACTATTTGAATCAGTTAAATAAATAACTTTTAGTCATTTACACTTCAAGTCAGATTTTTCCACTATTATTCCTTAAGGATTTGTGTGTATTTGCTTCTTACTCTCCAAAAATTAAGTATTTTCATAGTATTTTTCATCACTCACACTTGGCATTAAATCTTCCACATCTCAAATCCACTGAAATCCATTAAAATGTAGTGACAAGAGTTTTGGCAAGGCCTCAACACAGGCTCAGTGCCAACCCATGTACCACATGTAGAACTAACCATCTAATCTGTGAGTGTAAAAAATTGGAAGAGTAAACATAAAATGAAGTAGTGACCTCAACTAACACTACTCCTTTTATCTCTATGTATTTCATGCCCATGGTTTACTTAGAGCTGGAAAAATATTGTATAATTACTAGGCCTCAAATCACACTGTAAATGCACAGAGTTCATAACTTTTTGTATGGAAACAACTTTTTTTTATTTAGTGAACAAACTCACTGACAAAACCCAAAAATTTCCATGAATTTTAACAGAACAAAACACAAGAACAGAAGTTTTTCTTGTATGTTGCACCTTTTTAAGAGCACTAGCTCACTGGTGAATAAAAGCAATTATTTAGGTTATCTATTTTTTTTTTCATTTATTTTGTTAATAAAGAGAATTCTAACACTACAATATACCAAACTCCTTCATAAAGATTTGTTAAAAAAAAGAATCAGAGTTCAGTAGGTTACGCCACTGCAATCTTTCTTTTTTCTTCAGAAGTGTCTCCCAAAACTCATGCTTGAACTAGGGTTGTATGCCAGAATATTAATTGGAGTTATTGCTACTACCATTGTTTAACCAGGGAAACTGAAGTTCTAAAACTGGGGATTTGAAACAGCGTTAAGTGGCAGAGTTTCACCTAATCAATTTGTAACACAATCAGCAGCATGCAATTCTAATTACTGCTGTGAATTTTGATTTCCCTTGGTACTGTGAGGCTACAGGAGTAGCAAAAAAAAAAAAAAAAAGAATTGTGTTCATGTATGTGCCTTTTTAAACGGAACAGCATGTATGAAATATCCTTGAAGCACTGGTACCATTTCTTAGACACACTACTAATTACTGCAGAGTCTGAAACCAGAAGAGAGAAAGATTTCATCTTGGTTGCATTATCACCATCTGAGCACCTTAAAGCTACATTCAAAACCAACAGAACTCATAGCTTTTGACGCCCAGACATGTTACCATTAAAGACAGGCACCTACACTTGTTTAAAACTGCCAGTGCATTAATTGGGAGCTGCCTACTCAATCAAGCCTGCCAAGAAACTGACAAGGAAAATAGTATGGTTTAACTATCAGTACTCTTTAGTATTAATGGAAGAGGGAGCTGGAATTAATGTTTTCCTACTTCTGGCTTAGCAGTCTTTCCTATAGCCCTGTCTGCAAGTATCTTCTTAATTCCATGAATAACAGGCTATCACTTGTACCATCTTTTTTTTCCACCCATGAATATTTGTTATTTCAGTAGACAAAAGCAGCTTCAACACAAACCACATGATTCATGCCCAAGAAATCTTTTGGGATGTGGGAGATACAAATTCAGATGTATCAAAAAGAAAAATTTACATTTCAATCTTACACATCTGCAACAAATACGCTGCAATGCTGCCCAATGGAATAAAAAAAAGAACATCCACCACCACGTTTCTTCCTTCTGTTTACTTTAAGGCTAACAAGCATTTGAGATCAATCAGACAAGCTTAAGTGAAACAGGCAGGTGAATAAGTATTTTTTCCCTCTGAAACAGATTTAATCATAAAACAAAACCAAGTTTGGTCAGAACTGACATATAACAATAGATCTCCTACAAGAAACTCTGATGCTTGCACATGTTTGGAAGCATCAAATATCCTGTGATACTTCAAAATCTATCACATGTGGACAGTACCATTGAGCATCCCAAATTCCATCTGTCAAACTGATCTACTTTCCTACCCTGTTTCACTAAAAACAAAAATCAATTCTTCTTATCACAAACTCTCAGTGTCCAAAAACAAAAAGAGATTTTTTGATTTATGTAACTAGTATAAAGATAACAAAATAACACCAACAAATATACCTATAGAATACAAAAATTATTTTCTACTCTGCTCACCAGGACTCTAACAACCTCAGCACAGAGAGCTGAGCAAGAAACTCTGTGCTCTCAAGGCACTGTGCAAAGGCAGCTCTGTATTCCTTCGTTCTGGGGAGCCAGCAGTATTAAAAATGGAAATGCCCACAAAGTACATATGATTATCTAGCCATTACTTATGGTAATGATCCAAATATATTTCAGACTTCTCAAGTTAAATACAATCTAAATTTGGTAAGGAAAATACTAGGACCTGGAGGTACAGACTACATTTATTTGAAATCCTGTATTTCAGATACTTTGAACATCTTCCTCAGACCTGAGCTAGTCACAAATAAAGGTGCTGATATGAACAAATGATTTGCTTGAATTTTATTACGATGTACACCCATGAAAGAGGAGTGTGTCAGTACTACAAGTCTGTGTGTGATACAGCTGTTTTACAGTCTTTAAAAAAACTGCATTATTCATATAGAACAAGCATCAAAACACTGTAGGAGACATTTGTATTATCTCCACTGATTCCTTGTCTAAATATTGAGGTATAAGAAGGAAAAAGAAGGATCATTATAAAAGGATCATTTATCTGTGCTGATCTGCGTGTTCTAACCTTTGAAACACCAGCAATAGAACTTAACTGTTTTGTTGAGCCAAGAAGCAACAAATGAACATGCATTCACGATTAAGATCAACAAGTTCCATAGTATCTGGGCTCTATGATTTCTACTTGATAAAAAAAATCACTGTAAATTCAGGTAAGATGGTCATACTGAATTGCACATTTTTGATTAAGAAAGTATAATAACCAACCACAGATAACATCAACATAGGTTTTAATGAGAGACTGAAAATTGTCTATGTGCAAATTACCAATTTTTATAGGATGTACTCATATTTAAGTTCCAACATGATAAGAACTGAATTGGAATCCCTTTCTTACTGTGGCAGCAATGACAGTCAGAGCACCCTGATATCATAGGGAAAATGAATTGTAGTAACACAAGAAAAGAAATTTCACTGAGCTGCCATCTATTATTTAGATGCACAAAAGCAGCCTGACTAAGAGAAAACTTGATAACTGATAGCTCAGTGATGCAGACCCTAAATATAGAACAATCTCCAAAAATAAAGTTAGTTATGCACTATCTCCATCTTGAAGGCTCTGAAATTACTGGTAGAAATTTACTTAAATCTTTATCACACAGAAGAGCCACTGAAGGACATTTACAGTGTTACCACAACACTTGAAAGCGTTTTATTGTTCATAAGAGTAGTATAGTATTAATAAGACTTTAGATCTCCATACTTACAATGCTCATAAAACTTTAAAATACAAATTGATCTATACAACTCTATCTTCAGTTACTCAAGTTGTTTCAACTAGGGACAAAAAGCAAGTAATTTTAGGAAAATGTAAACACTTTCCAAATAAACAGCAAACTTTTCTAAAAGCAAGCTCTTGATAATATACGAATCAGTACAGTAACACCATATTCTGTAACACAGCATAGACGGAATAAACCGTGAAAACTCACAATTAAAAAGCAAGTAACCACAGATGTCTCAAATGCTTATGTAGTGAGACTTACAAGCTTTTGAAAGCTGTACAAAGGTCACTTTCACTACAAAACATGTATAAATACAAGTCATTTTAAAGCCATCTCTTCTTATTAATTTCATTCAATGGAATTATTTTTGAAGCCTAGTGTTCAGGGATTTTTCTCCCCCTAGTAACAACTAGGGAAGAAAGTTTCATATTCATGCACTATTAGGGTTTTATAGATGAAAGTTACTCAAAAATATTCAAAGACTATCTCCAAGCCACAGCATAACAACTTGCTTCCATAACTTGATGGTATTTCTGTAAAATCACTGTTCCACTTTGGCATATTAGAATTCTTCTCTATTTTGGAAGACTGAATCACTAAAAAGATTCAAAGCACCTTCAAAGCTCTGGAAAGCAATAGCAAAGAAACTCATTACCAGAGGCACAGCCTTCCATGGGCCACTCCCAACATAATTAGTCATGAAACTGTTTACACAGTTCTTACCTGTTCATCAACGTAATCATCTATTCTTTTCTGGCATTCGAGCCATGCTTCAGCAACTTGCCCCATTTCCTGTTCCAGCTGATGATACCTTTGTAGCAAGGTACTATACATATCTTCACTACAGGAATCGTGTGTTGTTCCAAGCCTACAAGATCAAGCAGCACTTGTTACACATGAGATATTTGAATGGAAAAAAAAAAATAAATCAACAAAAACAACCACACATAGTTCTACCAGCCTGTAAAGTGTTGAAGTACAATAATTGATACACCTTGGCCCACATAGCTGCTTCCATGTCAAAATGAATATTTTTAGTCATTTTTCAGAAAATACCCAACAATTGTTCCAGGTTCTATAAGCAATAATAGAAAGAATGTGGGAAGTGCAACCTTTCTGGAGCCTCTTTCCCACGGGTAACCAGATGTCAACCCTTCTGAGCAATACTTATTCAAATTTTGGTGCTTGATATATTTATCCTTTCAAATCCTGCAGGCTAAATATATCTGTTGACTATTTACTGAATAGTTAGATTGTAAAAATAAAGCCAGAAGCTTGTTAATTTGAACTCTCACAATCAATGATAAAAACATTACTAGACAAACTGGAGGTCCAGTTGGGGAAAAGACTGTGGAATGATGCATGAGAGATAACTTGGTTGTATGCACTAATCTACTATCACTTCAGACGCAACATCAACTTCAAAATGCACTTATGCCATTCACCCACATTTGGCTGTCTCCAAACGGGGTCCCAGGAACAGGAAAAAGACTTCATTTCCTTTCCAATACTTTGCTTTCATAACGGATTTATTTATTTATGGTATTTGCTGTAAAGCACATCATCACAATGACTCAAGTAAATAAGCAAGTTTCCTAAATCTTGATGACAAAAACAAGGAGAAGTCAAAATTATCTTATATCTAAGTTTAAAGCACACTGAACTGTAATGACCTATGAATTGGTACAGACTAAAGCTTCTCAACACTACTCTTACTGGGTAATTAAGGAGTAACCAGTTGACACTTAACTAGGCACAGAGGTCATACATTGGTCAAAGGACTTGACAAGCCACTGCCAAAATCAAACCCCAAACATCTTAACAGCTGACATTAAAGCCAAGATCCAGCATTTCTGGGAGGTCTGTCACAGATTTCAACCACAACAGGGTGCTAATCCAAACCAAGAACCTATCACCCTGCCTATGGGCCCTTAAATTTAAGGTGGCAATTAAGTATAAACAAGCTGAACAGACAACTCAGCGATCATTAACTTATAGCTCGACATCACTTCACCAATGAACTCAAGTTTCATATTGTTATTTTTGCCTAGAACCTGCAACACAACCACTTTAGAAGGCTAAGTGAACAATTCTGTACACTAGAAGCTCAGGAAATCCTCCTATGCTAGGGTGCAAAAACCACTTCAAAGGCATATGGCGATTTTAAGAATCAATGTCTCATGATTTTTCCTCATTATCAGTGCAAGCACTGACAATTCCTAATCCTAGATCACAATTCACTCCTTTTCCTAAAGCCTGTGTTTTTTATATGATAACATTATGCAAAATTCTGATCCTTGCTTCACAAGAGTCAAATTTATTCTCAGAGCTGCCACTGAATAGCACTATATATATATATATAAATAATATATATAAATAATATATATATAAATAATATATATATAAATAATATATATATTACAAAGATCAGTTCTGCACAAAAACTAACTTAAGTAGGATTTAAAGTTACAAGTAAAACACTTTTTAAAAAATTTCCATTAACAATGCAGCAGAGTTAACACTTTCAATTTTTACTGTGACTCTTGAGTACAGATCAACACATTTACATGCTGTCACTAAATGTATTGGAATCCCCAAGGCATGTGTAAACAAATAGGTGATAGGATTACTTTAAATACCGAAAATAAACCGTTATGAATTATAGTGTCTGATCTAAAAGTCCTCCTGATTGATTAATTGCTTCTAGGCATATGGGCAGTTCTTATTGCTGGTCTGCAGATCGCACAACTCAACATAACTCCTAAAGAAACCAAAGGCAGCAGAAAATGCTGCAACTTGCTAAGATCCTGGTAGTCCACACTGAGTAGATGACCAGTCCTGGCACAGCTAACCTTGTATCATCTAGTTAACCTATCCCCTCCCCACACCCACCAAGACTGCTGTATTTAAAAGTCCTTAAGAGAACATCTTACAGATGTCAAACATATTTGATAAATATCTTAGTTGGTGTGCTGTGATAATTCCAAGTCTTTTGAAAAAGCCAGAGACATACAAATGATGTAGTGATTAAGCTAAGGGATGAAAGGAAAGTGGTGAATGCTCAAAATCTAAATGAAGCTAAGATGCCAAAACAACACTATTTCACATCTTGGGAAGAATAAAACAAGGAAGCCAGTGTTCTCTGTCACGAAACTCTGGCAGCACTTTATCTATTGCTTAAAAGAGTTTCTAACCACATTAAGGCAAAATTGAAAAGGGTTACATGTCAGTTAGGATTACAACCAGAAGAACATCCCTTCCAGACAACTTTATTGCCATTTGCTTTTTTGTGTGAGGTGGGAAGAAGTGAAAGGGTCTGCCTAACCAGGAATCTGGACTGTAGCAAAAAGAAGTCCATTTTGTATCCTAAACGAGGAATAAGACTACCTGTACTTCAATAAGTTTGAAAGAAAACAGGTGCTTACTCTTAGAATTCATAAGAGGAATAGGTTTCTGTTGAGAAAATCCATGAAGTTCAAAATGCCTTTTTTGTAGAAATAACACTCCTGCAAACTCTTCAAAGACTTTTCCAGTGCTCTGCAGTTAAACTGAACTATGTGCTTAAGACAATGATTCAATAAGAGATTTATTCAAATGAGTCTCAAATTTCTGAACATTTCAGACAGAAAAATCTCTCCATGACAGCTACAGGAACAATTAAAATGTGAGTATTTATTGTAATTGTATCACGTCAGATAGTTTCCAGCACTACTAATGTCTGAGCTTAGGAATATTTCTGTGATAAGTGAAAAGATCTATCCCAACCAAGAAGTTTTCTCCTCTTTTGTGAACTAGCAAAACAGCAAGACCCTGTTTCTTGAAATGCTAATAGATGCAACATCTAGAAATAAGACCAGTTAGGAGATTAAGGAACCTCAGTGCTCTCAAAAAATAAAAATAAAAAAATCAATATATGAATGTATAAAAAGGATTTTAGCTATAAAATGTACAGCAAATTACCTATCCATCTGTTAGAGACAAACCACTGAGATCTTCCCTCTTTGAAATGGCTGAACCTCACTTCCTTGAGAATTTCTAATGTACACATTACAGATCACCACTGTACAAATGCAACCCAGTCTGTAAACTGTTTGTTATTCCTTCAAAGAAAGATTCTTAAAGGTTTGAAAGCAGCAAGCAGTGGAAAAGAAGCCAATACTCATCAGCTCAATAAGAAACAATCTGGAAGCTAGACCGATTCTGATGCTTGCCCAAGTGATGCCTCTGCTATGACATTCCCTTATTGTATAAGATGCCAAATTCCCAATAGAAGGCAAATTTTTTAGGAAAGCCTAAGGCCTAAAAAGCTCATGAGTAAAAAACATGCGATATATGAAAAGTAACAGCAATAGTTAATGCTTACAGAAGAAACAGGATAGAAGTCATGGAATAGGAGAAGTCTGTGCTGAATCTCTCCTTTCAAAAAGGCTTGAGAGATTCAATGTTGGCAAAACCATTGTTTCTTAACTGAAACACCCTTAAGGCTACCCAAAGAACACAGACATATTCAGAAAGGAATTCCTGAGGGAAAAGGATTCTGTCTCTAAAACCTGATGATAGCTGTCACTACAGTGAAGATCTGTAAGGAAACAACTTCTCTTGCCTAGGTTTGAATTCCAGTAGCATTTGAGAACAAGGTAAACAGAAGCATCCCAACACTTCTGTTAAATCACATAAGACCGTTCTCATTTCCATAGGTAAATTATCAACAGCCTCAATAAACCAGAAACTGATGGATCAAGAAGTGCACAGAAGCCTTGGCAAAAAACATTCAAGATGGCTGAATACAGCGTCACTGAAAATAGTACTGGAAAGTCAAGCACAGATCAAAGAGATCAAAGGGAAAGCATGCAACTGAACAACATGTTCAATAGAGTGACAGAATTACCTGCCTGAAAAATGGGGCCTAACCCTAACCCAGTACTGAGTCCAGTAACAATTAAGTTTTCCTGTTCTCCTTCCTAACAACTGCTAGCAAAAGCGTAACCCAGAAGTTCCTTCATTTGCCACAAGGAATCAACAAGGATGCTAAATCAAATTGTTCTCGTAACTTAGAAAAAATACCCAAAACAACACACTTGGGACAAATATACAGAGAGTAGTAACACCTTCATCAGGAACAAATCTGAGAGGTCAATGTGAGCAATGTGTGGCTGTACTTTATGAAGATTAAACAGAACTCAAGATTAATAACAATATTTCTATACATTAATAATCGTTTTCCTGCACAAAACAAGCACTTTCAGGTACACAAAACAGAACCATCCTGATAACAAAGCACACATTCTAAAGCCCTGGGAAATGCAATATGCCATCCAATCTACAAGCACATAGCAAGGGTGGGTTTTTGTTTTGTTTGTGTGTGTTTTCTTCTAGCCATCGATTCACTTGTAGAGAAAAGGAAACAGTACCAGTGCCTTATGTCAAGTGAGGACATTACAAATCATCAGCATTTTTACAGGACACTGTCATTTTATTAGGTAACCTACAAGTAAAGGAGAGTAGAGTAACAATTCTGACAAGCAAGTCATGACATCAGGTTGCTCAATTGAAAACAGGTCAACAAGACTTTTTACCTATCAAACTGGACAAGTAGCAGACCTGTTCATTTTGTTGCTGCTGGCTGCTTTTTTTGTGTTTTTTATTTTTTTAAGTGATGGCTGCAAACACAGATTTTGCTTTCTCCTTTAAATTACAAAAGTGAAGTTTAAATCTTTACCTTAGCTGTGACACTAATGTTGGCAAGCTATTCTGCAGGAGTGGCTCAGAAAATACCAGATTTTCAAACAGATGTTTGTTGTGCAATTCCCACGTCACCTGAAATTTCTTCAAATGTTCATTTTCCTATAATGAATAACAACCACAAATAAGCTCAGATCATAAAACACAAAGTAAAGAAATGCTTTTCTCATGTCAGAATATATATTCTATTAATAATAAAACATTCTATTAAACCCATCAACCAACAGGCTGCATTATCCAGTTGAGATATTACTTCATTTTAATATTCAAAATATGGGACAGTTCTTTATGTCTATTTAAATCATTAATCATTAGCTTCATACCTTTTCTAAATTGTCATGGATTGGGAAAAAAAACAAAAACAGACTGTGCTGTTGAAAGCTTCCACTCTTTTCTGCACTGTAAGATTTGTTTCATGAATCAGTTATTGCTTCTCAGTTCTTTTCACCTATCTAGTAACAGACACATGGTGACAAGCTGTAATTTTTATTTAAAATTGACATAAGTGAAGTAGAGAGTTCTTTCAAAGTGCAACTGTTTCAAAAATGCACATTTTCTAAATAGCCGAGAGACCAACTGTTCATTTCTTTTATAAGAAGAATGTTTTTCTATTTAAGGTTACTTCATATACAAATGCCTTGAGTTTTAAGACCTAAAAAGTAAATCTATTATTATGATATCAAAGACAGAAACAATTTTTTCTTTCAAGTTAAGTCCATACACAGATAGCAGTAAACAGTTTTTTCTATAGCAGGACTCTCTCATACAGCAAAGCTAAATGCAACTGTTCTATCAGATCATCAAGCAAGGCGTATGCACTATAGCCTTGAGTAGCCAGAAATAAAAGAGTACTTCAGAATTCCAAAGTTTTGTTTAGCATGGTGGTTTAAAAAATTAATATAAAATAGATATAAAAAAAGAATTGAGAAGTTTGAGGTCCTTCTTTTAATTGTTATTGTTTAGACATATTGCTTTTTTTTTTTGCCTCCCAGTTGCACAAGAGACATGCACCATATCAGTTTGAATGCTCTAACTTCAAAATATTCACAACTACTATAAAACGCTTCTTTAAAAAATATTTGTAAGACAAGAGGCCTTTTGCTTTGAATTTTGTCAAATAAAGGGAAACATTGGAGAAGATAGGCATCTTCTGTCTCAAAGTCTTTATCCTACTTTCCTATAGCTGCAAAGTTTTCTTGAATACTGACTGATAATAAGCACCAGAGGAGGAATATGAGAAGACTATTTTCTGATTGGCTGTATAATTCTGACACTACTGAATTCATTACTGGTGAATCCAATGTGACCTTTGTACTGCAATCCATTTGCTTTGCAGCTGAAAATTCGTAAGTTCCCATGCCACTCAGCTTGAAGAGTTACTTTTTCTACAGTGCCTAGATTTGATGACTTAAAAGGTGCCAATTAACGGGAAATAGCAGGGACCACACATCTCCATCCAAGTGATAAAGTTGGGAAAGAGAATACAGCAAGTAACAAATACAGACCACTGACAACAGGAAAAAAACACCAAATATGCCTGTGTTTCTACACAGAAACATCTTCCTGCTTTGGTCAATTCCATTTCACAACAGTCCCTCCCCAGTAGTGACACACAGTTCCCCTCCATCTCATCATTCTTATCTGTGATCTCTTACTTGCTGCTCTTTTCCTTTCTTGACATCTCTAGGCAATCACTTTTAGCTAATTGGCAACACAAAATTTCACCACTTGGAAGAAAAAGGAAGTACTGGACACAGCTATTGGAAATGGATGTATAGGAAAAGGTTCAAGGACCAAGGTTATTAATCAACAGTAACATCTGTTTACTGTATTAATTGCATGGTGGACAGTTAAACAAGAACAGGCTACTGCTCATTTTCTACCTGCCAATACAATTCAGCACAGTCACCTGACAAAAACAATTAGACAGAATATTAATTCCTGAAAAAAGGTCATCTTTCCAAGTATCAATTCTTGCTTTTAAGGAAAATAACACAAAAACATTAAAACAATTTGATTTAGTGCTACACATAGAAGTCTGCATCCTTTAAATGAGGTTCTCAAGAGAAGAGTGAAAATCAACAGAGAAATGCTATAATCATTCTTCAGAGGAGTTATCTAAAATTTTGTGTATTTCAGAACAAGCACTATGTGCCACCTTTTCCTTCACACAATTTTCATTGCATTCATTTTAGGAGATGTCTAACCTCCATTCGTGAAAAATGGAATTAGCATTTTCTGAATGCCCTTCACTTCCAACTATGTGCACACAGACCTTACGTTTCACAAATCACAGATGACTTCTTAAAGAACCCAGAAACAGCTCAGCTAGTATCACTCCTAGCAGGTTGTTTTCTCAGTCTTACCAGAGTAACTAGGAAGGCGCTGATTGTGCATGCTGCCTGACAGAGAGCACTGTATTCTTCAAGTAGGAGTGAGATGAACTGATGTGCCTGCGGTGGCCCTTGTATTGCTAATGTTGATGCAACTTTAGATCCCAGTGACAAGTGTCTGAGCAGACGGACCTTCATTTCAAGTACATATTCTCTAGCTTGCTGTTCCAACCGTTGGTAAAGCTGATATGGATCTCTTTCACAAAGCCTGTAGTTTTAGAATATTTGTGATTAAAAAAGATATCTAATGAACAATTTTCAGTCTCGTAAAAACATTTAGCAGTTATCATCATTATTATTACAAAAAAGAAACAATGACTAGGGTTTACAGAACTACCTTGGGTTTGGTAGAACACAGTGCAGTTCCCTAACTCTATGCTATGGAACTCAATTCCTATGTAGCTTTAGGACTAGCAAAGGACATTTGACCTGAGGAACAAATTAATCTAGGACCTCAGTGCTTCACTTCTAGTTGTGAGCTAAAAACCCTTACTTATTTGGCATACAGCTTTACAGACATACTTCTTTAGAACTTCTTCATATTCTTCCATACAGCCTTAATAAATGTCGCATTTAGAACAGCCAGATCTGGGCTCAATTAATGTATGTAGGACATTCCTTTACCTCAAGCCATTGGAGAAGCTTGACACATTCAGCAGTCAGCATTTACCTAAACACATACCAGCCAGACTGGACTCAACAGTAAATGCTTTGTGTGACTCTTCTATTGTTAAATTAAACTGAAAGAGGCAACTCATAGAACTACCATTTTTAACACACTCATTCATTAAACTCACTTTCATCTAGTTTCTTACCCTAAGTTGCAGATCTTCTGTACAAAAATGTTTTTTACACTTGTATTAAAAGTATGTTACTACACAGAGACATACAGGATTCACAGAGCCATAAATAAAGTCCTTCACAGAACATGACTTATGGTACTACTTAGCACATAAGCTGCAATCATTAGAAGTGATAGGTGACTGTATTTCAGTTTTGTTTTGAGTCCAGGGTAGAGACCAGAACTTGGCAGCTGTTCGTTCTAAGGAAGAAGACTAACATAAATGCTCTAGAAATACACTGCCCTCCATGCATTCTTTCAGTCACACAGTAAGAAGCATCGCAGATATTGAAAGGCACAGCTTTTGAGAGGGTCAGAACCTCCTGCAAATGACAGCACAGAGCTGCCTGATACTGTCTTGGAAATTAGACATGGGTTTGAACCACCTCACATAGAGAAAAATGGTTCTCTGGCTCCTGACAGATGCTTTGGTCTACACCAAAAGTTCCAACACTCTAGAATTCTGTGCTCCAATTGAAGCACCATGTGAACATTGCCCAAAAAGGGCTGCCTCCTGCTGATGGTGTGTCTGGGCACAACTACTTAATGGGGGGAGATAACACAAGCCTAAACTGGCATACAGAAGAAGAGTTATACATTAAGAGAGTTCTCATATTTAACAAAGGTTTAGTCACCAACCTCTAAGAGGACTTCATAATTCATAATCTCAGTGGGCACTTAAGTTAAAAGCAGGAATAGGATCCCAGTCAGCCATCTTCAGAGCTTTCTACCAAAGCAATACTCAGAATGAGCCACTGGACACGATGGCTGCTTTGAAGCATTTTAAAGGTGAAATTGTACTGTTTAAAGTCCCGTGGCTTGGGGTTTAAGCATTTGTCTCAGGTTTTTGGAGCACAGGGAAGTAAGGAAGAATAAAGAGATTAAATGAATAAGTTCACTGCTGTCTAGTCTGCTGTCTAGTCCCTGCTCTTCCCTCATCACTTATAAAATAGAGTACGACCACACTGTTGTGAACTGCTATGATGTACAGTAGGGACAGTACTTGGCACCACTGCTTACTTTCAACAAAGCAGGTAATTTTTTTCTTGCCAATTGCATTTAACACAGCTGAGCATTAAGTTATTAACAAGGAATTCGCCTTTTAAACTAGCCACAGCATATCTGGCATGCTACCTATATATTTTTTTTCACTATTCCTTTTTAAAAACAAAAATCATTTTCAGTACCTACACTGGTAAGTTCTGCTAAATTTGTGTGTGACATCACAGCATCACAGACTGGACTCACCAGTGTCTGCACTATCCAAGCATCCTAACTTTATTTCGTTATTTGAAGACCACAAGAAATTCTAGAGTGAAAAAAACACAGCAATATTGAAAGTTTTCTTCTTTGGGATCTTTTTCTTGCCTGTTATATTTTAATCATGTTTCTGAACAGTGACAAGCAGTTCTAGAGAAAGGCACCTACGTACATAAGAAAGCTACAAAATACGCACTACAGTTTTCAAAGCTTTTCCATTAAGGAAAACTATAGCTGTGATTCAGTTTTAATTAGACACTACACTACAATTTAAAAATCTTTGATTTCAAAAGCTATATTGCATGTTTTGATCGCTTAGTTTAAATAAACCAAGTGTGACTAACAGGAAAGCATATTGTATTTCTCTACAGTTACACAACTCACGTTCAAAACTGAGCATTCACTTTTTATAGCAGAAGCACAAAAAGCTTATTCAATTATTTATTAAGACTCATTCAGAAATATAGTCACAAAGAACTGTACTGGATTAGAATCTTTCAAAAAATTTCTCTACCAGCATTGCCTCAAGTAGAAACTCTGCTTAAGAACTATGGTTGCTTAATTCAGTCAGACCTTTGTCAATTTAGTACAGAATCGATATGAGAATCTACTCTTTGACCACACAATAAACTGGACAGAAAATGAAATGCACATGCTGGAGCACTTAAGAGAACAGTGTGGAGAGAACTGTTGGCTGTCTCCCAAGGGAAAAAAAAAAACAAAAAACCAACAACCAAAGAATTCAAAAACACATCCTTGACTTACACCTAGAAAAAGATGCACTTTCAACTTCTGATACGAAAACAAACTTCTCATAATCTGCCTCTTCTAATGAGAAAAGTCCAAATTTTTCCTTCTCTAACGTCTAGCTGCTACAACTACTATAGAATGCAATCACTATTATAAAATCAAGTTAGTTCAGCAAGGTAAGATGTTTCATGTGGGGGAAATCCAAGCCAGACAGTGTCTTATTATTGGTAGTAATGATCTCAATATCTTTTGAGGATTAAGGTTTTGGGGATCTTTTCATAATTATGCACTAATATCCCTATTGCAGATGTATACAAACATTTGTCACGTATTTCACACACTCAATCCAGCACTTTAAAATCCTGCATGGAATACAGCTGACCTCCATAACTTATTATTCTAGCGGAAGGGCAATCATTCTAAGCCATCAGACTTAGAGCTGGTAAATAAAATTCTGGTAAAAAAGAAATACACTAACTTAAAACTCATTTAAAAAACACCCTTTAGTATTTAATAAGTAGCTTTTTTTGAAGTGCTATACCTATCCACCAGCTCTTTCATTCCTTCTTTATCTGGTACCAAAGATTGGTCTTGGTCGTCTGCCAAAGGGGTCCCAGCTTGGCGATATATACATCGAACCATGTATCTTACTTCTGACCAGTAATTTTGAAGCTGCTGAGATTCACGTTCAGTCTCTGCTGAAATTTCTCTGCAAACAATGACAAAAAAAACCCTCTCAATTTGTACATCACACAGGTGTATCGATTCCCACTATTCTGAAGACTCTTCTCAGGAAAATCATGTTTAAAAAAGCCCAAAGAGTACAGGCAGAAAATAAAATCAAAAATTGAATAAAAGCCACCATCCCTAAGTTACTGCTATTGTCAGATAGCCCCATTTTAGTTTAAGCATACGTTGACAAAACAGCCACAAGACTGCTGATAGTCTGACTACAGGCATTATTCTAAGTCTGAATTCAGTTCTTACCTGCGCTCATTACAGGCCTCACAGTTGCATGCTATGTCTGAAGGAGAGGAATTGTTAAGATCGGCAGCAGGCACTGTCTGCGCACCAACAGTTATCCTTCCTCCTCCTACAGATTCCTGCTGTGATCCACTGTTTCCAAGAGGCATGTGCAAAAGGAAATCTTGGCTCTGAAAGAAAAAAAAAACTGGTAGCAACTTTGGTTTGCAAGATCCAAGTGTGAAATGTTAATATGCAGGCAAATAACATGGCATTTCTTAGTGCTGAATATATTTTGGGAGAAGACTCAACTGGCCACAAAGGATTTATCTTTAAAAAGCCCAATAAATGCACAAGATGGACTGAGAAAGCCAGTAATGTAAATAGTTTCATTTCTAATAACTGAAGCACGTTGGTTATAATTATCACATTTATGCACTCCAGCATAAACAATGAACTAAGCTAAAAGAAGGATTGCATCATCCACGATTAACCACATAAACTAGTAATATCTCTTCAGTCTCTTATTTGACAGTATGTTTGACTCTTTTAGTTTAACAACCCATTCCACAGAACGCATAAAATCTCCTTGTATATAACAGCAAGACATACTACTTGACCATAATGGATGTTAGCATCAGTTCCCAGTAACAGCAGCTTTTCATCTCCTGTGTGCAGTGCTGCTGACTGCTAACAAATGACACAGTTCTCTCCAGAGGCTGCTGGTATTTCAGTCTCCAGTTTCTGTTCCTCCACTGCGCTCCACCCACTGAACCGTGCTGCCCCTCCTGCACTCTCCCCAGGTTGCCACCACCTGTCTGTGATGCCAGGCAGAAAACCTCTCTCAGATTAGGAGAAAACTGAACGGATTTCCGCGTTTCACTCCAGATCCTGGAGCAGGATGAAGACAGATATTAAAACAAACTTGTGCACATCCAACGGCAATAGCACGAGCAGCTACTATGGCTGGTGCTGAGGCAAATCAAGCATCAGAACATCAAGGCAATGACAGCAACAGCAGCCTGAGCACAAGAACATCTGCAGCAAGCCACTCACGCTCTGGCTCGCAGTGACTGAACAGATTTCAGTTTTTTTTCCCCCCGGCTGTTTTTTCCAAATGTGACTAGCCATTTCATCCAGTTAGGTGTTTTTTAAAGTTGCTGGAAATGGAGGACACTTTGCTTTTAAAAATTTCTCTTGCCAGATACCATCCATTTTGATCTTATCTAGAGTATATTTAACTGAAAGAGACTTTTACAAAGCAAGTTCTGCCTTGCTTGCACATCTAGAATGATTTCTTTTCCATTTGAGCTCAGTTACAGTGAAATGTGTCAGAACTTTTTACTCAGTTGAACAATAATGTGCTTCAGTCCAGCTGTTCTTTGGCTTCTCTAGAATATGTTACCATCCAGCTACCAACATAACCCCCTTTGATATAATCTTTTTGGATTAATTTCCATAAGCCTTGTTAACAGTAAGAAATTTAGCAATCTTCATCTGTAAGCACAAGTGATATACTCTTAAATCTTCTGTATTATAATCCATAGAAACTCATATGTTAATATGAGGTTAACTGCATATGCAATACAAAAACAATTTTATTTCACACTGATTTGCTTACTGAAATAAAGTCTGTATATGCCTACAGGCTATTATCAGAAATGTAAGGCTACCCAAATCATATGTAAAGATTTGGTTTTTTGATGTAGTACTGCAGTTCAAATCAAATGGAATTTGCTGGACATGACATCAAACTTTTTGCATCTTTGTCATGAAAAGACAACTCTTTATGAGGTTGAATTCTGCTCTGAGAACATATTTTAAGACTTAATTAATAAGAAAACAACCACTAAATAAGAAACGCAGCTTGAAATACTTACATTGGATTTTAAAGCAGTGTCTGCAGTACTGCAAACAAATTATTGTTACATGCATACTATAAAAAGCTCTCCTTTCTTAAGGAAAAAGAAACAATAACTAACAACAGCAAAAGAAACTTCTCTATTCAGATATCCGAATCTCAGACTTGAAACTCCCCATTTTTCAAACACACAGAACTCACGTGTTTCATTTAGCTCACAGGAAAAAAAAAAAAATCAAGACCAACTAAAATGCCATCTCACCACTTGCAGTTGAAGTGGTTCCAAAGCGCAAAGTAGCACTCAGCATCTCATAGCACATCACCTTATTCTATTGAAGTACTTCAACTTACCACAAGAGATTGCTCTATTGTAGCATGCCTCTCCTCCTTTTCGACTGTTCGCCTACAGTCTGGACACACCCACAGTGGAAGATGCAGCATATTGTTTGCTTTTGGAGATGTGGAAAGTGCTGTTTTGCTAGAATTTTTTATTCCGCTCTCTGAAAGCGAACTATCTTTTCGTTCACTTCTACAAAGAAGACAATGCTCGCCAGTTGTATATGGTGCCCTTTGACCCAAGCCAAAGGTAAATGGTGTCTACAAATAAATGGCAGGAGGGAAAACTGGTTATTCACAGAACACATACTCAAAAAAAAAAAAACCATTCTGAGATTCTCAAAGTAAAACTTGACATCATTCAATGGTGAATATTTGGATTGTCTTAAGATCAAATACTGCAGTCTTCATCTCAGTCTGGCAAACAATTGTGATTATGAATAAATTCAATATAACAAGCAATTCTTCCAGGGATACAGCTTTTCTTTCTAAAATAGTTCAGCCTAAGAGCAAAAATAACTTTTAAGTAAAAATAAAAAAGGATAATTTCTTTTACTGTTGTCATTCTCAGAACTGAAAAGGAAAGAAGCAGCTCTGAAGGTCAGTGTCATTTCCCTTTCGAAATACTTGCTGAAACAAAACTTTTAGCTAAGCTTGTTGCTAAAGAAAAGCTCAGCTTCGCTTTAACAAAGCCAATCAACAAAGCCTTAAAATCCACTATCAACTATTGAATAAAATAAACCTATGAGGACAGAGGCAACCAAAAATTTACTTTCTCTTCCAAGATTCTATGTGCACGAAATTGCGGTTCAGCCCTGAAATTATGATTACTCATCAAGACTGATGTTCTAAAACATGTCAGGCAGAGCCAGCCAAACAACTTCACAGGAGTTCAAAGTTATAACTGATGGAACAAAATATGGAATAAATGATCTTAGAGGTCTTTTCCATCCTTCGTGATGCTATGATCTTATAAAGGCACAATCTCAGATTTGCCCCATGTGACAGCTACTAGCTCTGCCTTAATTACTAACACCGCCCATGCACACCTCAAAATCATAGAAATATGTGAGTTAGAAGAGACCTTAAAGACCATCTAGTTCCAGTCCCTTGCCATGGGCAGGGACATTTTCCACTAGATAAGGTTGCTCAAAACCACACAGAACCTCGTCTTGAACGCCTCCAAGGACAGCACCATCCATAACTTGTCTGGGCAGCCTGTTCCTTAACACTCTCATACTGAAGAATTTCTTCTTAATATTTAATCTAAACATATCCTCTTGAAGTTGCTACTCCTTGCCCTATCACTGTTCTTCCTGATAAAAAGAGCTCCTCTCCAGCTTTCTTGTAGACCCCTTTTAGATGCTGAAAAACAGTTTACAGTTTCTGAAGGCAAAATCTTACAAACATCAGCAGCAAAACATCTTCCAACAAGGAGGAAAAGTAGAAGACAACAATGTAAATAACCAGAAGTGAAGGCAACCTGACACTGTAAGGTTCAAGGTAAACAGACCCCAGACACACTACAAGGACTTCTAGAAGCTGCAACTTCAGTTATGCAAGTTTTATCAGTACCATTAAACAAACAAAAACACACAATGGCAAACAGAGCAGGAACAACCATCTTAATGGCAGTTAACTGACTAAGTAAAATCCTAGTAGAGTCTCCCAACTGGGCTGATATTCACAACCAAGGACTTCAAAGAAAGATTTTAAGCTCCAAACAGAGAGCTGGTTCCTAAAGCAAGACATAGTCAACTGCTAAGAATGAACTTGGGATGGTCACATGTCCAAGTGCTCTCACTAAGTAGTTTAACCCTAATAAAATTGATAGCTAGAACTGTAAAACCATAGAATTGCTCAGTTTGGAAAAGACCTTAAAGATCATCAAGTCCAACCACAACCCAACCATACTCCCCTAACTCTAACAACCCTCTGCTAAACCATGTCCCTGAGCACCACATCCAAACAGTTTTTAAACACATTCAGAGATGGTGACTCAACCACCTCCCTGGAAATGACGCCACGATAAAAATCTATACCACCACCTAGATCACCAAGTCCTGTAAATAGCTTTGTCATGCTAAAAGCAAGCCACAAATTGCCCTTTTGTATTTAATAGATTACGAATGCAGTGAACAATCGTGAACATTTCAACAACAGTAATCAACTTTCTCATTAGCTTGGATTTTGGTCATGCATACATTTTGTATTTCTCCTTAGCATCATCAGAGATAAGGGTACATTTTAAGCAAAGCAAGAGACTTTTTCACCAGTCAAGCTTAAAAAGAGATGGATCTCTGCAAGAAAACATCCAGACTCACTTTCTCTCTCTGAAATACGTTCAGATGTAACATTCATAAAGGAAAGTTGGAAGTAGGACAAGCTGGAACAGAAATAACTGCCTCTGCTATGTATTTAGATTTATTTCCAAGAATAGCTTTATTACCATAAAACTGCATAGCTTTTTTCACACCCATGTCCAATTTCAAGCTTATTATAACAATAAAACTTTGCTTTCACTGCTCTTTAAAGCTTGAACTGTGAAGTGATCAGAAACTGACTTCAGTTAGCAAAATCCTTAATGCAAACACAACTGCAGATCATTTCCAAGGTTTTTCCTCTGTATGTCACTGTAATTTTCTCTCCCATTAATATCATTCTACTACCATACACACCCACAAAATCTGGCTGTACTTACCTGAGAAACACCTGTGAACTCTGATCCAACAGAACTGTCTGTAAACTGTGTACCATTTAGCGAAACCTGGAAAAAAATTAATAGCAAAATGGTTATAATAATCAAATTTTATGCTAAAAACAGCATTAAAAAATAAATCATCATCATCATCATCATATCCCAAATCTGAGGGCTGACAAAACAGCTTCTGAAATTTCAATGATTGACTGCAGACATGGATAACTCATTTTTAGTAATAAAATTCTACAGATGCAAAAGTTAACAAGTTATGTATTTCAAGCTTTTGCAGTACAGCTGTTTTATTAGCAGTGGGACTCTGATCAGAAAGAACTGATACAGGAAAAACTAAGACACAAGCAAAACAACTTTGTTCCCCTCTGTATTTGGTTGTTTGCTTTCTGCCTTTAAGCTTCTATTGTGAATTGAGACAATTACCAAAGATTCCCTCCTTCAGAAAGCTGAATACAATACTGCTTAGAAACACACACTATGTTAACAAGGAAGACTACCATAAGAAGCCACAGAACTGCATCCAGCTCTTGCACTGCAGAAGCTTTCCTCCTACACCAGTTATAATTCATACAGAAATCTCTCAGATCTCTTCTGCACAGAGTGTTACAGAAACTACACCAGATAGTGATGAAGTGCTTTTCAAAAGCCACGACTGTTTTCATAGAATATTATCTGAGGACACTAGAACAAGAGCAAAGTTAAGACAGCATACAAACTGATGTCGATGATGGCAAAGAGCCCTAGACCACACTGATGTGAAGAGAAATGTAAAGGCATCTGATTGAAAAAAAAGGGAGGGAGGGGGACAGGCAATCAATTTTCTTCCTCCCCACCTCCTCTCCCGCCATCCCTTTTGGTGAGCACTGGTTCATCACTCAAATTTCAGGCATAATTTAACTCATGCCTCCATTCCACTTCTCCTAGCTTTGATAACCTCTTTTGCTCTCCATTTTTCTACCTACAGCTGTCTGATATTACTTTTAAGACTCCTTCCAAGACAGCTACAGCAACTCCCCTGTTTAACTTGGGAACCTCCACATCTTCTGTAACAGATGGACACATCAGACAATACTGTGACCCTGCTAACAAACCCAGAGCTTAAAATAAAGCCTCCCACAACACAAAGTACTGTCCTTCAGTTTTACTCATCGACAGGATCAGTGACCAGTTGCTTCATAAGCCAGTTAGATTTCTGGAAAGTCACCACCTTCAGCCAGGTTTTTCAAAAGCAAAGTAGAAGACAAAACACAATCTTCAAATAATTGCTAGAAAATATACAAATAGGAAACAACACAACTGATGTATTATACGCAAACTTTGAAGAGTGGGTATTCACTCAACTGAAGCAGCTCAGGTCTGGAATGACAGTAACAACAATGTAAATAATAATAACAACAACAACAACAACAACAACAACATAGTGAACTTGTTTTCCACTTGGAAAGTGAAAAAAAGAAAGTCTTTCAAATGAAGAAATGTTTCTTCAAGGAAAGAAAACTTCCAAGTACAGTAGGCTGACTGGTCAGTGGGATATACATGCCTTTAAAAACACAGAAACCAGCTCAAAATTTAGAATTAAGCTCCAGAAACATTTTTCTGAGAAAGTCCTAGTAGACAACTTTGTCCCACATCCCCACTTTTTCATTAAGAAAATATGTTTATGTTCTCTACACTCAAGACTGCAATCACACAAAAAAACATCAGCCGTAGTATTTAAACATGTTGGTGCTCAGTGACCACAGGAGCACCCAGAAACGTTAGAAAAAGACAAGAGAAAAATATTGGGATGTTTCCAATATCCAGTAAATGGCAAGACAATACTGGATGTCAGGAGTGCCTGCTTTATAGAACAAGTTGCCTCTTCTTTTGTTAGCAGCATTGTGTCTCTTGATCTTAGGCACTGTGCATTATTTGATTCAAAATATGAGTACGAAACTCCCCAAATTTAGTAATGATTTTAATATCTGGAAGAGGAACAAACATGAAGGAATTTAAAGTAAGAATGCTTTTTTTGGGTTTTTTTTTTTTTTTTTTTTTTTTTTACCACACAAGATGAAACAAACAGAGGGAAGCATCAAGAGTAAAATGTCTGTAGGCAATGAGAAGATTCACACCATTATGTGAAACAGACAAAATACAAAAGAAATACAGCAAAGACTTAGGAATGGGGAGGAAGGGAACAATAACATGACAGGGAGGAGAAGGAGATGGCTGAATAGCATATTAGAGGAAATATTAGAAGAATCTTGTAGAAGTAGTCCAAATGGGGCTGAAACAATAGCAAGCTTAAAACAGACAAAAAAACGCAATGAGATACTCTCACCCAGAAGTTAAAGAAATGAGGAAAGAAGTGTGAGAACTATAACCATCACCTTTTTCAAGGCGCATAAGTAATAACGGGGAGTAGGGAGCCTGGTAGGACCTGTGAGGTTCAAGTAAACAAACAACAGATGCATAAAGTAATACTAAAATAAGCTAAAATCTTGGCAGAAACACTGAGCGCGATCTTCATGTTCGCTATGGAGGAGCTGAACAATATTCTCCCAGGGAAAGCCTTAATGAAGAATGCAATGGAAGATCTGCTTCTAAGCAAGGCACAGCTCAGAGGGGTGGGGCAATACATGTACTAGCCATCAAAAGCAGATGATATTCAATCAAGAGTCCTAGAGAAGCCTGATGATCTAACAGTTGCATTAACAACTACAATACGAAAACATGTGTTTCCTATTTCACCACTACCAAAGGAGCAAAAGATAAACATTTTTTAAAATATTTATTAAGTTCCCAAAGTGAACCATGGAAACTTCCCTTCTGTAGCAAGAACGTCCCTATCTGACTAAGTTAACCAATAACATCAAATTCTTCACACTACTCAAGACACTGCAGGATGGCAGAAGGACCTTCCAAGACCTCGTTACTGGGCCATATCACAGAATCACAGAATATGCTTACAGATACAATTCAGCATGCACAAATTTTAAGTAAGAGACAAACTAGACAGTTGTCACATCTGGACAACCAAAAGCTCTTTTAAAAAAAGATATATAAATGAAATGTGTACACACACACACACACATATATATATTTACATCAGACCTGGATATCCAGTAAAACTGTTGTAAAATTTCTTATTTCAAAAAGCTATTTTGTACCAGTAAGTGCTAGGAAGGAAATCTGACATGGATCAGGAAAACTGGAACTGTGCACATCTACTCTTCACTGTACATTAATTGGAAAAAAGAAGTATCTTTCTGTCCTTTCTGTAGATTATTTACAGTGGAAAAAAAACCAAACTCTTTCTTGCAAGCTGCTGCCACGATAAGTCACCTCTTTAAAACCTGAATTTTCTGGAAAACAGGCAGACTGTTTGGCACAGGATAATTTGTACCAGACAGTAGAAAGAAAGTGAGAATCCCAGTCATGACCAACACTCCGAGCTCACCTGAGTGACCCTGATGAACCAGCTGAGCAATTAGAGTGCACACACTCAAAGTCTGTCATGATTTGCTGTAACAGCGAGTCACAATCAAAGCCAGAGCTGAGGGGTAAATTACTGCACTGGAAACACACCCCAGGCTTTCCTGGAGTGGAAGCCTGGTTATGTCACACTCCATGAAAAAAAGAGATGCAAAGTCATATGAAAACTCAAGAAAAGAAAAGCGGAGAAAATGATAAACTAAATTCAACTCATCAGCAATGAGCCCTCAGCAGTTCAACAGCAACGTGATGCTGAAAAAAAAATATAAAATCACAGAAACACATAACTTTAGGGTTGGGAAAGATCAATAGGATCATCTATCCCAAACATCAACCCATCACCACATCCACTAAACCACATCCCTCAATGCCACATCTGTAGGTTTCTTGAACACCTCCAGGGACAGTGACTCCATCACATGTCTGGGCAGCCTGTTCCAAATGCAGCATTTAATCAAATTTCTCCTACAGGAAAAAAGATAGAAAACACAGCATTGACTTTGTCAAGTGGATTAGGAATGACACAGACTGGAGACAGCAATGTCACTGAGCACAGATTAAGTTTACATTTCATTCTACATGCCCTAATGTAACAAAGGTACCCTGTACCACTTCAGTGTATTCCTCTATTTTTATAGGGATCTGAACAACTGCATTTGTTAAAACACCTGAACCTATGCTTTCTGTGAGCGTCACAGCAATACCAAAGAAACATACTGCTCTTATCCCTGACCACCTTTCCACTCCCCAGAAAAGCCTCCAGGAAGCCATCAAGAGTATCAGATTCATTTTACTTGCTCTCCTGCCTGTGCTTGTACCAAAAGCATTTCCCACAGCTGCTCTGCACCCAAGCTCTCCGGCGAGCACCTATCCCAGCACTGCAGCTCCGCATAGCAGCCTGCCCATCCCCAGCAGACACTCTGCAGATGGCAGCCTTGGTGCCTCCTGGGTGCACACCTCCCTCGTGCAGCCCAGTAGAGCTCTGCCTTGGGTGCTGTCCAGACTCAGGCTGAGTTGTTCCCCACCTCTTCAAGCCACAGCTCAATCTGTCACCGAGCTACTGCTGGCAGATGAATGGAGCTGACAAAATCTTATGTGATTTTTGGATATACAGAAAGTTTTCTTTGTGCCTTGGGTTCGAGAGATAAGATATCCTAAATTTTCACTTTCTGAAATCAGATCTTTGCCCCGTGCTCACAATTGATAAAAGGACAGGGCATCGCGGAAGCCAAGTGCACAGATAACCTCAAAGAATGATTGTTAAAAGTGCATGAGATATAGGTTCAACATGAGATTAAATCAAACGTGATGCATGATATCTCTGGACAGAGCATAGAAGGGTTATTCTATACACACACTACATTCCTCTCTCCATTCCTCCAGTACCAAGCACTGTCAGACAGGACAGCGTGCTGGGCAGACCTCTGGCACAACAAGGTTTGCAAATTTTGTTTGGCAATCCATTTCAAACATTGTTCCTTAGTGTTATCAGTGGCAACTAAAACCTCTGCAGCTAACCGATATTACACTATACCTTCAATTTTGTAAACAAACAAGTAAATGCACACACACA